TTGAGGCAAAATGAATAGTAGCTTTGCATACTGTTTGAATGTGTCCTACCTTACCACATCTAAAACATTTAGCATTACGAAATGCACATGAATTACGAGAATGGATTTTTCCACATGATAAACATTTGCTAAACTTGGTCTCACCTTTGTGATTTCTTTTGTAATCCCTTGTTGAGATATCTTTCATATTTACACGAGAATAGGAACCACTGTTAAACGAACGCAATTTTGATTGACCCTGAGATTGTATTTCATCATGACGACTAAGCAAAGTATTAGAAATATTCATCGACTAGATATCAAGTTCATTCACTGCCTCGTAGTAAATACACGCAGTTCTAGCATCTTGAAAGGAACAGTTCGGCATTCTTAACAGCTCTCTTTCCAAACCGGGCAAGTTAATTCCTGCAATTAATCGATCTCTCAGTTGCACATGAAGTTGATCACCAAAATTACATTTGGCAGCTTGTTTCTGCAATTCAAGAATGAATTCCTTAACCTTTTGGTCATTTCGACGAGTCATCTTATGAAATTTTGCCCTTTCACGGCATTCAAAACTAGTGCACTTTACATGATTTAATAATAACTCCTTAATAGTTGTATAAGGAAGTGAGATAGGTTTTTCTGGATATGCCAAGGTTTTCAATAAGCTGTATGCTTCTTCTCCTATGAATGTCAGGAAATAAGCCACGATTTTATCACCTTTAACATCCTTCTTGGTCATGCTCCAAATTTCAAACCTTTCCAAATAGTCCTCAAAAGCTTCAGAAGTTGAATGAATATCTAACTGTTCCATCGCAGGCTCCATCGCGACGCCAATATGATGATTAGAAGTATTTGAATTATAGTATGAACTAATAATCCCAGGGATAACGCAATTGAATCAAGAAGTACTACACAAGCACCAACGAATGTACTGTATTTAGAATTCGAAATCAAACATTCAACAAGTACAAAGGAGTCATTAGTTCATTCAAACACCAGAAACTCTCAATGATATATATATTATAACATTGGTAAAACTATTTCTAGATAGAGCGTCAGCGAAAAAGTTGGAAGAGCCTTTGATAAACTGGATGTCTGTAGTAAATTGAGAAATATAATCCAGTTGTCTGGCTTCCCGTGGGGAGTGCTTATCATACGAAGTGCTAAAGGAGTAGCAAAAGGGTTTGTGATCAGTCATAATAGGGAAATCATGACCCTGTAGCAGGAAGTTGAAATGTTTTACAGCCAAATACATAGCCAGAAGTTCGCGTCCAAAGGTGCTATAACGTTCTTGGGTTGGCGATAATCGTTTGGAAAAATACGCTATAGGAGTAATGTTGTTGCTCACGCGCTGCTGTGATACTGCTCCTACTGCTTTCTGGGAGGCGTCGGTGCAGAGGTTGAGATGCGTTGTGGGGTCAGTGTTTAGATGCTGTAGCATAGTAACTTTGGATATCGTTGATTTCGCTTGTTCGAAAGCCTCTCTGGCCTCAGGCGTTAAGGTGAAGGTATTCTCTATTTTGTTCTGAGTCAAGGTTTTATCAATCTTCAGTAAATCTGTTAAAGGTTGCAAGATGGACAGGTACAATGATTTAATAATAAATGTACACACAGTGAAAGATTGACAAAATGAATACAAATAATATTAAAAATTATTTACAAAATAAGTTTGACAGACCTATCTCTTGCTCAAAGTCAAATATTAAAACGTTAAACAAGGGAGATTGGAGGGCATAAGATGCAGTTACGAAAGACCTAAATAATAGATAGTATTGGTATATAAATCCATGTTCGGTGACATCTAGGTTTAGTGTGACATACTCATGTCGATAAGCGATTTTTAGATGGACGAAAACAAAGAGTACAGGTCAACTCTAGGTTGCTTAGTGGAGTGTTCCAAGATATACCCTCGAGACCGGTTTGTGAACGGCCCAGTTGACTTGCTCACAGTATTATTATTAATGAGCCTTCATTCTAAATGCCATCCGCTTTCTTGTGTTTCAAAAAAAGAATCTATGAGGTATTCTAGAAAAGTAAAGATTCCACAAGTATTCAGAGTTTGACAACGCATACACCAGTAACATATTTTTTAGTCGAAATATACCAACCCTGTAAGATCGAAAGTCAGAAGCAAAGATGTTTGAAGATATATTTGACAGGCTATCGACATATCGAGAAGTGATCAGTCTACGCTGGCTAGCAATTGTAGGGGATGTAAAGCATGGCGTACCCACTCGTGATCTGGTGTGGATACATGACCCTTCAACCATATTAGTTAAGTAAAACTCATATGGTCAACATCAAATGTCTTGGACTTACAGAACTCTTTGTTTCGAAGATTTATTTACCAATACAAAAGTTCACAAGACCAGAACCAGTTTCTTACTGACTGACTATCGACTATATCATTAAATCGTCTCAAAACCTTATTAAAGCCTCTTCTGTCAACGCGCTCTAGCGAAATTCAGAAGAACTTCTGGATTCCAATCAGTGGGTTCAAATGGTTGTGTACGAAGTAGAAGAAGCTTTCGCTTAACAGGGTTCCGTGTCTAGTAGCAGGGGATCACCAATACCTCCAGGCAAGAACTTAGGTATATTAACGATAAAAGAGAAAAAAATGAATTGGTAAATCATAGTAAGATACTATCCTTAGTCCTTAAGAATAGATCAAATCGCCTCTTAAAGGACTACTGGAAAGTTGCTTGGACTAGCTCAGCTGGAAGTGAATTCCAGCATTTGACAGCTCTTAAGGAGTAGAATTAGTGTCTGCAGTTCGTTCTACTATGTTGTATCTCTAATTTCTGGGTGTTACCCCTTAGGTTAGTGTTGAAACTAAGCTTAAGTAGGTGTTTAAGAGGATGTCCAGGTGTGTTAAGGATACTTTAAGCCATTAGAAGGTCACTTCTAAGATGCCTATACTCTAATGGGTAAAGGTCGAGTGATTAGAGGCGCTCATCGTAAGGTTTAAATTTGATTCCTCGAACTGATTTCCTGGCTCGCCGTTGGATATGCTCCAGAGTGTCCTTATCCTTCTGGAGTGTAGGAAGGAATACTATGTTTCCGTACTCTAAATGGGAACGAATGAAACTATTGAAGATTATGTGGAAAGTTCTCCTGTCAAACTGACCAAAAATGCGCTTCAATGTTACCAGTGCAAGGTTTGCTCGAAAAGCATTTCTGTCACAGTTGGCGTAAGACTTTGAGTCGTAGGGCACCAGAACTGCTAAATCTTTTTCGACTCGGGATACTACTAGAGAGGAGTTTCCTAAGTTGCAACTGTAATCTGCGACGTGTCACAGACGGACTACTTTACACTTTGAAGTGTTAAAGGTAAGTCCGTTATCGTCTGCCCAACTTTGAAGTCGATTCAGATCCTCCTGAAGTGCCTGTATGTCCTCTTGGTTGCGTATCTCTCTCCAAAGTTTCACGTCATCGGCGAAAAGTAATGTCTGAAGATACCTGTTGAGGAATATCATTTATATAAATCAGGAAAAGAGGTCCAACCAAACTTCTATCCTTGCCAAACTGAAACTGAATAATAATTTACGAGCGATTCTTTTAAGTTCGTCTGTTTCATATACCTAGACCGACATGTGCAGAGAATAGTGAATCAATGTTACTAGACTCGTTTGGTGAAAACCAATTCGACTTTGACCACTACCACTTGAACTATCTGACCCGCTTCTTTCAATCAAACAGCTTTCGGCCTTGTCGGTCGTGGGACATTCCTGGTCATTTCGAGGTGATTGGAATTCTAATAGAGAGTTGTACCTGATATATAAATACCTTAAACTTGTTAAAAAGCATTTTTTGCCAACTTGATTAGTATTTACACGAGTCTTTGGTTGAACGTTAAGTTGTACAACTCTAATTCCCAGTGATCAACGTGAATCACTGGGAATTACAGTTGTAAACCGACTGAAATTTAACTTATTTTTGACGCATCTGTAAGAACCTTTGAAATCCTCAGGTTTCAATGTTGGAACTGTGTTTATAAAAGGCAAAGGTATTTCATTTGTCTAGGTCCTTCCAGTGATTTATAACATGCAAACAGAGTTACTCAGCACCGTTACTTACCATAATTTTGAACATCAATCTAAAAGTGATGTACAGAATATTCGTTAACTTATGTTGATCAGTGACTTGATTACACTGTTCCAACACGGACTAAATTTTCATTAGATTATCACCGGAGTCATTCCTAAGTAAAAGTAGAACATTAACTGGAAGATGTGCTTATATTACTCACTGGAAAATGTGTTTCTAAATAAGCATCTTGGTAGTTGATAGAATTTCAGTAGATAGAATCTCTTTGTAAAAGTACGATTTATTATTGGACTCAGCATTACTGCATGAATCTAGCTGTATAAAGTTGTGACAAGTTCAGTTATGTTCTGTCAGCCTAAACTGTGGTGTGCTAAGTGGCTTTGCACGACGACTATTCCCGTAGCATTCATAAAGTCTTGTAAAAATCATTAAATTATGCTTATATGTTCATAACAGGCCACTTTTCAAGTGAAGTTGGTGAATCGAATATACCATCTAAACAGTTTAAATCACTGTGTCTGTAACCCTGACACAAATATGATTCGAAATTCAGAAAACAGATAAGTTGGTTTAAATTAACTTCATTTTTACTGGCATAAACATATTGTGTCTTTCATATAGAGGCTTTTAAAATATTTTGGTTTCTCTTACAATAGATAGGAAAAATACAGATCATGTGATACTAGATACAACATATCAAATCGGTACATCTGAGTAAAAAGGAATTGTCACGATCTAAAGCTCTAATGAGTTAATAGTTCGCTTGAGCAGTTTAGCTGAGAAGGTTGATTCAGTACTAAGAAATGTAATTATGTGCGTTTGCATCTTACAGTTTATTGCCTTCTCAGGTTATCCTCTTCTGTTTATTACTTAATCAAAGGATAACCTTTTGTGTACATATTCATTTTTCTACCTGCAATTTTCATATTCTGTACGTTAATAATATATATATAGTTCAACGTTGCAGTATGCTGCCCTTACGAGCTTTGAAGACTTTGCGACTTCAGCACATCACTCGGAAGTGTTTATATACTTCAGCATTACGCTATCAAAACCCTTCCTCCAGTGAACCGTTTTTAAATGGAACTTCATCCAATTATTTAGAAGACATATATGAAGCATGGCTTCGAAATCCTGACAGTGTACACAAGGTATTCGTTCAAACTTATTAGTGACAGTTAGTCATGGGACATTTATTTCAAATGTTTAGCTTCTGGAGCTACCCCAGGAAATGCTTACGTTCAGCCACCTACTTTGGGTAAAGAAGGTTTGAAATTGGCACAGTTAGCTCCACAAATCACTGCACAGACAGCGGCACCGAGTCTTAAAACCATTGAAGACCACCTCTGTGTTCAGGCTATAATCCGTTCGTATCAAGTGAGTCCAGTAGCTTAAATTTTATTGTCGTATATATTTAGGATATTTTTTTACTCTTATTGATTAGTATTTCACATTCTGTAAATATAAACAGTTTTGTGTTGACATTCAGTAAACGCAGTATGTAAAAAAATTTTAATTACATATGATAGTTCACCAATAATCGTATTATTTACGGTCACCTTATTAAGTTTAAAACCTGAACCTCTAGTGTTATTACAAAAGCCATTACAGAAACAATTGTTATTTGTTTTACATTTTGAAGTCCTACTTACTAAAATGAATACAGAACAATACGACGCTTAATTGTTAGTGCTAATTTAGTTGTTTTTGTTGCTGCCTCCAATTATCTCTGGTAAGCTATCAAAACTTTGATATAATTCTAATTGGAATTACTCAATATCTATCATTCCTTACCATGGTCATCGGCTACCATGGGAGTGCATATCCTGACGTTGCTCCATTGCCTTGTGGATCGGACCCTTAGGCCGAGGGCTCCTAGTGTGGCCCCGTAAGAAATCCACCTGCTTCGGTTTGGGCGCCTGGGCAGTATCATAGCCCACGCAAATCAAGTGACTTGTGTTGCGCATATGTATCTGATGCTCCTTTGTACCAATATTCAAGTGTTCAAATAAATAAATAAAACACTGAGATAAGCAATCAGATAACAGGTAAGTAAGCACTACACCATCGTTTTTCACAAACATGGTTATTAAAGATGTAGGCCCTGGTACGGCTGAGAGTGGGGAGAGTCCGCTCACCCTCTCGAAATGCTCTCACATGGCCACGCGTATATAGTCTCTGCCAGGGAAGTCCTACTCACTGCCTTCTCGTAGCGGGGGTGTTGTTTACGAAAATGAAAGGACGAAAAGCGAATGTCCGGCGCTTTAACCGGATCTCAAACCAATGGTGCACATGGGCTCCAGTATCCTGAAGGAACAAATGGCGTATGAACCAACTGTTGGTCACCGGCTACCATGGGACTGCATCTCCTTACGATGCTCTACTGCCTTGTGGGTTAGACTTTTAGGTCAAAGGCTCGGGACGTGGCCCCTTAAGAAAACCACCTGCTTCGGTCTGGGCACCCAGGCAGTATCACAGTCCTCACACAAACGAAATGAGGTCTGTGTGGCGCATATGTATTTGGTGCCTCCATGTACCAATATCTATGTGTTAAAATAAATAAATAAAATATCTTCATTTTCAGATTACTGCTTTTAACTAACAAAACTGTAACTTAACTAACACTCATCCCCCCAAAGGATGCATATAGCTAGATTTTCTTACTTTTGTTCAAAATATGTATACAGTTAATTTGCGCGCTTTGTGAAGAAATATAGGGAATGTCATCCAATAAAATGTGCGACAGTGTTAAGAATAACTAGGCAAAGGGAGGTAGAAGGATTCGGTTTAAGAAGATACAGATATTTACTTACACATTTAAGCAGGTCAGTGGATAATCTTTACTTAAATTTAGAAAAAACTGATGATCTGATCCTTAAAGCTCTATAGTCACAAGTGTTCAGATTTTTGGCTTGGAAATCATCTGTGTTTTTTCTGATAGCTACAATAGTTTCTTTAGCTTTCTAACAAACAGAACACTTGTTCTAATCGCTAAATCAATCCTTTTTAAAAGGTGTAAATATTATGGCTTGTGGAAATGAATTGTTGTTGAGGCTTGAAGATCGCTACTGTAGTCGCTTTACACACTAATTCACCTCGAGCCTTTAGGGTGAAAGCTTTTACTCCTTTTAATATTATGAATATCTGGTTGCATTTATTCACCTACACTTTGTGAAACGTAACGAAGTAAGATAGATTTTACTGGATCAAATCAATTTTGGTAAGTCCACAAATATCGTATATTGTGTTGATGTTTGACTAAACGTTTGAAGCGTTATTCAGTCTCTAGGTCATCGCATCGCCGATCTCGACCCGTTGGGGATATTGTCTGCCGATCTGGACGATTCTATACCCCCCGAGTTGTCGTTGAGTTTCTACAACCTTGGTAGGTTAATCTTAAGATTGGTTTTACTTATCTTCAAACAGTTTTATTTTTGCCATTTTTTACGTTAATTTTTCACGTGTCTCGTATGTATTAGATGCGTGGTCATCTTGCTGCGCATCTAGATCCTTTAGGTATTACGTCTCCAGAACCCGGCATAGCCAGATACATTGTTTATCAAAGGTACCTAGGTGATAAAAGTAAGTCTGCTAGATATGCTAGGTCAGCGTTGTTCAGTCTTAGTTTGTAAATTTGTTTAAAGTTGTTTTGTGTCCGTATGATCTCTTAATAATGAAAACGATAATATTGCATACGATTCGACTGTTTGCAATTATCATACATGTTGTTTTAAATATCGCTGGATATTATAAAAAGCATGCTTTTTCTTTACAGTGAAGATGCAGCATCCTGATAAATGCTAAGCAGAGACTGTAATTTTAGGTATTTCAACTACCTAATTCAAACTATTTAAATAAGAGCTTATTATTATTGGTCACGCATACCAAAACCTTAGAATCTAGGTTTGTGTTTCGGGTTGGATTTTGTAGGTTGTCTCCATTGAATCTAATTCTGTTTTTTTTTTTTTACAATAAATAGCCTAATTTGACTTTCAAAATACACTTCATAAGTTCAGAAGTGAAGACTAGTATTTAAAATCGTCAGCTTGTTGTATTTTCGTCTAGATGTTGTAATATAGGTGCATGTTGTGAATGGAAGTTCATTTTGTTTATTTTCTTTTGGGTAAATGTTTGAACAATTATTATTCGTGATTGTCACCAATTTTAATCAGTCTTTTGTTGTTTACAGGCGAGCCCGATCTGGATAAGACGTTTAGGCTTCCACCTACCACACATATCGGAGGTGATAAGCAGGAACTTACTCTACGAGAAATCATTAGGCGTTTGGAGGTAAATTTTCCGTAACAACGTTATTTTGATATAGAGTCATAACTTTTAATTCTGGATTGGTATTTTTATTATATCTTGGTAGTTCGACGACTAATAGACTTAGGTTTTGTTGTTCAAACAAGAATCTTTTTATTATTTATTATTTTTTATTATTATATTTTTGGTACAATATTGAATTCTCAGCATAAAGTATTTCAACAAGTTTCCTTTTCTTATATCTTGATCGATCCTGACGATGAATATTGAGTGATGGCTAGTTAGATGTTGGGAGTTCGATAATCGACATCTGAATAATGTTCATTCGTTTCAATGAATATTGCAAGCCACCATGATGTCGCTGGTTGTACCTTTTTGTAATCCGTACAGCGAAAGGTTGTAAACTTTTCATAAACGCGCCTGAATAGGTTGTGAGCTCAATAGACATAATAATATGTTAAAACAAACAAGAAAACAGACAACTTGACGAAATATCTAGATGGGAGGAACAGGTAGTCCAGATATTCAAGCAGGCCACATGGTTAAGAAAGGATCTTGTACAACTTCTTCACTTATATAAACTTAAACGTAGGTAATAAAAAGTTTTCTAGTGAATTCGTTCAAGTAAATGATAGTAATGAGTAGAAGTAATGGTTACTCATTAGACGACAGTTTGTAAAGACAACTTGGAAACTGTTGATTATTAACGAATTTTTGAGTAGATGTAAAGTAATTTTAGTTAATTTAGTCAAAATCTGTCTACAATTTGAAAAAAAATTATTGGTTTCTATTTATGATAAGTTTAATAATATAACTTTGTTGGGAGTGAAATAGACTTTTACAATCATTAATATTATCAAGTTCATTTGTTATTGATTTTCTTAATTTTTTTCTAGTTTTGATATATCATGATAGAACTGTTAAACCATTGAACTGTAAAGACTTTAAGCTTATATTTAAGATAATGTTTAAATTTAATGAAGATGGAATTTTGAGAAGTCATTCCTCTTTTACTAGTTTTATTTTGTTTTTGAAATATTTTCATATTCATTTCAGAATGTTTACTGCAAACATATTGGTATTGAGTATATGTTTATTAATAGTTTAAATAAATGTGATTGGATAAGACGAAAATTTGAAACACCTGGTTCAATGGATTTATCATCTGAAGAGAAACGTTTAATATTAGCTCGTCTTGTCCGTTCAACGCGTTTCGAAGCATTTTTAGCAAAGAAATGGAGTTCGGAAAAACGTTTTGGACTTGAGGGATGTGAAGTTTTAATACCAGCAATGAAAGCTGTCATCGACTCATCGTCTGCTCTTGGTGTTGAAAGTTTTGTAATTGGAATACCACATCGGTTAGCCTTATTCTTTTACTATTTTGTTAAATTGTCTTTGAAGACTGCTGATTACGTTTATATTTCTCAAGGAAATTATGTTATTAGTTGTTACTGTTTATTGATCCGTATCAAGGAAATGAATTACTCTCAATGCTTTGATTAAACTACAATAGTTAGTTATTGGTTATTACGACACACTAGTTACTACCTTGCCATGCTCATGACTACGTGACAGTACTTATATATCTAGGTTATATTGGCTTGAATACTTCAGTTTTCATCAGGTTGTTTAAAAAAGGCATCTTATGCCATTCAGCATTCACTTTTGCAATATTAATAAGTATTCTATTATGGTGGAGAATTATACATCTACAAGGAAGATGATTAGCTTACTGGTTATTTTTTAGTAATTGTTAATTGTGAGTACTCAAATCTATTAGTTTATTGCAACTTATTGGATCTACATGAGAAATTTGTACTAAAACTAATTGTCGGTTGTATGCAAATATTGTATACCAGTGTAAAATATCAGTTTAACTTATTTAATAATTATTTCAAATCTCAACTTAAGTTTATTAACCATCAGGTGTTCCATTTGAAACTCATGATATTAACAATTATTTATGAATAAATTTGTAAAGTATGATGGAGTTGTGGACAAATGACATTAGTTTAAATATTGGAAACTCTTTGATACAGGTATTTTTTCTAATTTATTATATTTAATTATCCATAGACGTTCAAGTTCGTAACTAAACATATGGTAGCAATCAAATGTGTATTACTATGCTAGCTTATTCATACAGTCAAAATGATTATGAACTTATATAAATGTTATGAAAAAGTTGTAAACAGATAGAAGCAATAAGTTCCTTTGATAAATTTGGACAGCACTATTCTTTCTCACTTGATAGATAGTGAATATTATATGAAAACAGAGGAAACTTTCTCTGTTTTATATCAAGCTCCAAAATATCTACCTCAAGGAGCTAGATTACGATTGCTCTGGATCAACTCCAGAAAAAGTGTATCCAGCCTCTATGTTTACCTTGGCCCACGACTGGATCACCGGATACCTAAACTGAATACTATAAACATCTTATCCCCTCTTTTTTTATTACCTCTATCTTAATCTTCACATCCATCATTCCCAATTCGTTTATCGTAATAACCTTGATAACACCCCCTTATTACATATTATATTCACACAACTATATTATTATCTCAATTGACAAGATGAAATTCTCCTACTATGCACTTTATTCACACAATTTTTTTTGTATCTTCAGTTTTGCTATAATACTATTCTACTTATTGTAACTGGACGCTTTACTCTAAATCATTCTGACCTTTATTGAATGACCTTTCTAATTTGCAAATAATACAATTTTGAAGGATATATATCGTAATAGATACAAACGTTCACCATTTTTAACACATAACATTGTCAAATTCATTAGTACATGCCTTATTTTCGGCCTTTGTAAAATATCATAATTATGGACTTATAATTGTAGAGCCTGATGATGAAGTTATTGAAAACAATTGTTCGCTCAAATATTCTTCATTTTTGAATATTCTCAATATTATTTATATTCAAGCCAGTACAATTGTAGCATTTTTCCTTAACTTATGCGTTATGTAATGTATTTGTCTTTTATTGAATAATACCTTTATGTGTGCAAGTTATATTTGAAATAATCTCAGCGATTGAAATTTAAATAATTCCAACGTTTTGTCCAACATACTTGTCTGGTAATAATCAAAATCAAACAAATATATAGCATTTTATAATGTGTTAATCCAATCATATTTGGATGTTGATTTTACTAAATCAGATAACATGAGTCAGTTAAATGCGAATCATGTGAAAATAAATGATTGAACGAATTGTGTGTAAGATTGAGTTATTAATGAATGATATTTGGTGTTAAAATGTTTTTATATGAAGGAAAAATAAAAGTGCAATTTGAAGGTTGAGAAACCAATGATGTGCATGTAAAGTGAAAATCATCAAATATTGTTTTATTATTATTATTATTATCATCATCATCCTTATCTCCTCTTACCTCATTTCCAGTCTAGTTGACCTTTTATTTTTATATATAAATGCTCTTAACAATTATATGTGTGATCAGATTGTTCGAAATGTATTGCGCTAATATATTACATAGTTCTGATAATCTCCGTCTTCTTATTACATTATCGAAATATTGTTTTCGATTAGATCTAATCGAATACATAATTGTTTTGCTAAAATAATCCACATTAATTTCAGTTAGAATAACGAGGCATGTGAAATAAACAGGTTGGATAGAAAAAGGGTCTAAGTACTTGTTAACGAATATTTGCCAAGTTGTTGCTAGTTGAATACCATCCTTTCTGTTCAGGCTCTTCTTGTTCGCACATATACACAGCGCTTCAGCTGTCAATCTTTCTTTATGTGTGTTAAAACCTTTCTGAAGTATTTGGTCGTCTCAAAATTGATATTGTGTCCTGTTTCCAACGCATGTAACGCTATCGCTGACCTATTCTCAAGTTTTTCTTAGATCAACAGAGGATTTGGGAACATTTTTCAAGCATTGCTTGTGTTCTTTCAACCTTACATTCAATTGTCCTGAAGTTTCTCCCACATAAGCTACATTGCAATCATGACAGTTGATCTCATAGATAATATTTTGTTGTTCTTTTACTATTCTCAATATTATTTATATTTAAGCCAGTACAATTGTAGCATTTTTCCTTAACTTATTTGTTATGTAATGTATTTATCTTTTGTTGAATAATACTTTTATGTGTGAAACTTATATTTGAAATAATCTCAGCGATTGAAATTTAAAATAATTCCAACGTTGAGATCGCTGAGATTTTTTCACATATAATGACTAATCTATACTCGGCGCCCAATTTTTGCCAAACTATTCGTTCTAATCTTGATGAACATCCGTATAAAAATACAATTTATGCTTTTCTCAAGATTTATTGCATTTATGTAGACATTTGTGAATAATCGTTTAGATATTTTCATTAGTTTATCAATACTCCATTGTTTTTCAGTGGAAGGTTAAACGTTCTAGCCAACGTTTGTCGTAAGCCTTTGGATGATATATTTTGTCAGTTCGACTCTAAATTGGAAGCTTGTGACGAAGGCAGCGGTGATGTAAAATATCATTTAGGCATGAGTCATCAACGATTAAATCATATGACAGGCAAGATGATTAATCTTTCAGTATGTGCTAATCCAAGTCACTTAGAAGCTGTTTGTCCGGTCGCTCAAGGTAAAACCAAAGCTGAACAATTTTATCGGTAAGATTTTATTGTTATTTTGTTGCAATTTACTCATATGAGAGATGTGTAAAACTATATTCGTGTGATATAGAAAATAAGATACCTCGTAGTAATATTATCATAATTATAATCTGAACGTGATACAACGATTCGGATATTTATTTTTAAATTGTATAAAAGTAACTAGTTTATTAACGTGACTCTGCAAAATGAAGGTTAACTATATCAGGTTAAGATCCATCAGTTAGTCGCAACTGATTCAGATCACTGACCATGCAACTTTATGATTTGAGACTTTACCAAATATAGCTTATTCTTGAAGTCAATGATAGTTTTCTAGGATCGTTCTCGAAAACATTAAGAGGCATTTTTGAAACAAATTAAATCCCTATTTATTTTGTTCTTATCTGAATATTGTTTTTGCTATTAGTATAGTGAACAAGAACACGGTTGGGGACAATCGAATGCATTTGACAACAAATTACAGAACTAGTTAGTGAAATCTAACAACCATACATTAAATGCTCAATTTGCAAAATGTCCATCAATTGTATCAAATGACTCAGACTTCCTTTGTTCTTGCATTTTCACACAAATCGCATTCTGTTTTCATTCTTTACTGTTCGGTCTTTTTATGTCTCCGCTGCCAGACATTATGTTCACGACTAGCATCATATACTACTTATGTCTACATAAGTAGCACACATCACATTAGTATTGTATTGATTTTTTCATGTTCATTTCATAACCTCATTATTTTGTTTTGTGTGGCGTCTTCCATTAAACCAAGTATTTGTACTGTTCAATGTTAGTTTTTACATGAAATCGCTTCATATATAGAAGTTCTAGTCGTATTTTTTTTAAATATTTATTTAGCTTGTAAATGTGAAATAACATTTTTTCTAAAATGTAATACTTTAACAATGTATACATTGTTTTTTCTTCATACTCTAGGGGTGATACTGATGGAAAGAAAGTTATGTCAATTTTAATTCATGGTGATGCAGCATTCAGTGGTCAAGGTGTTGTTTATGAAACCTTCCATCTTAGTGATCTACCCTCTTACACAACTAAAGGTACCATTCATATTGTTGTGAATAATCAGGTAAATTTATTTGATGATAAATATAATTTTGAATTATTTGTAACAGTACATCACCCTTACTAGATACAAAATAAATTGTCTAGTGAAATTCTGTTTGAGTATATATTAAAAAAAAATGATTTTCTTTTTTTTTTCTACTGGCCTAATTAATTATATGATCCATCAAATCTTGTCTGATTCATCTCACACTACTATTTTTTTATCTTAAAGAAGACTTCAGTCAAATTATTGATTTACCACTACTGTTTTGTTGTTCTTCTTCAGTGTTTTTTTTTACTTTCAATGTCTCCACAACCTCTAAACTGATAATTACCATGTGCTCACTAGTGACTAGCTTCGTGGGAAAATTCTCGGAGTTCTGTTGAGTATCCGTGACCAGTGGAGCTAATCCGTGTCGGGTAGAAACAGGTGTCTACCTCAGTACAATAGAAGATGGTCGCGCAACTTCGTGGATTGGTTGAGGTTAGACATTAACACCATTGAATGCCGGCTCAGTGGTCCAGCAGGTTAAGCGTTCGCACGTGAAACTGAAGGCCCCGGGTTCGAATCCTTCCATCGGGATCGTGGATGTGCTTTGTTCAGGAATCCCACAATAGAATGAAACGGCTGTCCAGTGCTTTGAGGTTTTCAATGGCGGTCTAACATCAATCGGTTCACGATCTCAATCAAAATTATTTGATTTACTATTATGGTAATATTTAGGGTAAATTTCTGTAGTTATAACAAATGAGAATCGATAAAATGTTATGAAGATCAAAATTGACTGAACTGATTGAATGCATTCAACATATTTTACTACATAATTATTCATTAATATTAGTTTAGTCATTCCAAGTATATTGTTTATAAAATGACTCATGAATAAATCTACTGACCCGTTTAATCAATGAACATTTTGTCATAAATATCAGGAAATATCATCTCATTTCTAATCTTTTTTTCTCACACACAATGTAATTTAGTTCTATATTGAAAACGAAACAAAAAATATCAAATTTCAGTCTTTTTTTGTAGGTCAAGGGTAAATTTTTAAAAATGTACTTTACTTGATCAACTTATCACTATTCATTATTAATTCTAATTTTTTTGTTTATTTATATTTGTATATTGACTCATGATTTCAACTACTGAAATTTATATATTTATATGTATATATGCCAATAAGAGACTGATCAATTGCAGTTTTAAACATCAATGGGAAGATTTAGGTAAATAATACTAAGTGAAATTAAACTTCATCTCATTGCACAAGCAAATGGCCATCAGGATTCAGTAGTTAAATGGATAACACGATGGCATTTGAAGCGAATGGTACTGGGTACGAGTCCCGGAGTGAACATCAACTCTGAGATGCAGGTACATCCAGCTGACGAGTCCCAGATGGGATGAAACGCGCTTCCTAGATTCCACTGCTAGTCACTATCCATCTTTGCTTATAATACTTGTAAATTAAGGCAGTATGCACATATACCAATAAGAGACTGATCACTTGCAGTCCTGAACATCAATGGGAAGTTTCAAGTAAAAACAATACCAAGTGAATTATATTTTATCATTGTTTGCGAAATAATGTATTCGTTCAAATAAAGTGGTTTACAATAATTATAAATTAATAAAATTTAAGCATTAATTTTCTTCTCTCACTAGTAGTTTATTGAAATCAAAGTGATTTTTACTTTTGGGCGTTCATATTTTCTAATTATAAACATTGTAATAAATTTCGTTAATGATATTGTCTAATTTAGTTCAATTTAAAGATAGTTTTCATCATGTTGAACTAGCTCCAGCTAAAGAACTACTGGAAATTAAGGTGATAGTGAATAGCTGTTTAATTTTTATTTGGTATTCTTCAGCACTTCATGATCATGAACTGATAAGTCTTGTTAATTGAACACTATATTCTGTTCCTAAGATATTCTCTTCAGCCCCACGCTAGAACTACACAACGAACTGAACACGAGAGAAAAGGCGCAAAATATGCGAGAAGCACTTTACTCCAAAGGTTCATTTTAGTACAGAAAATATAAGGTTTTTATAGTATTTTAGATGTCCTTGGTTATCCCGAAGATTCTGGAATGCTACTAATCAGAAACTCTACATGTGACTTTTCACCTTCTTGATGTTTCTGGCTAAGCTTCAAGTGAACACTGATTGAATGAAATGCTTCTTAGTGTTTCCTGAGCCTTTCATGTCTTTTGCGAGTCTTCTGGATCACCCCAACATGAGCCAGTACAGATTGAACTCAGTTCCTGTGATAAGTAAACTAATAACTTAACCATATGATCTATATTTACAAATTGAATGAATTCCTGATGTAGCGCCATCATTATCTAATCTAATATGTTGCTTTAAAAATATGGTTTTTATTGACTTTCTACCTCCGGCTTGCTCTATAACCTATGTAGTAGAATAGGTCAATAGTTAACATCATTACTTATCAATATAAATTATGACAAAATTAATGCTTTAAATTTTTACTCTTTTAATGGGATATATTTTGCAGATTGGTTTTACCACTGACCCTCGTATGGCTCGTTCATCACCATATTGTACTGATGTTGCTCGGGTTACAAATTCACTTATTCTTCATGCAAACGCTGATGATCCTGAATCAGTCATGCATGTTGCAAAAGTTGCTGCTGAATGGCGTTCTGAATTCGGAAAAGATGTTGTAATTGATCTTGTCTGTTATCGCCGTTCAGGTCATAATGAAATGGATGAGCCAATGTTTACTCAACCACTTATGTATAAACGTATTCGTGAACAACCAACTGTTTTAGAACAATATAGTAAAAAGTTAATTGATAGTGGAATTGTCACTGAACAGGAATTTAAGGTAAATTAATATCAATTTAACATATTTATTTGAATAGTTTAATTATTACCAATGTTTAATTTTGTATACAAAGTTGTTCCCATTATTCATATTAAGTCGCATAATTAAGTCGCACCGATCGTAGTTAATGTGAGTAATTCAGATATTGCTGTAAACAATAGTGTAATGATGCACCCTATTTTTCAGGAAAAAATCAAATTACATTGTACTACTCGTTTCCATAAAAGGGATGGTTCTGTTTAGATTATAATATCCGGTTATGAGGTTCTCTTTTGATATGTGGTAGAGAAAGTAAAATATGATTGGCCACTAATTGTAAACAAGCAGGCACTTAACCTACTGACCATTAAATATGTGATTTCTCTTCCGAACTCGTTGAGTGTGCCCGTAATTGTCGTTGAATAAAGTATTGTTTAGTGTTAATCTGGTTCTCCATTCCGAGTCGTAAATTCTGGTTCCGATATAATGTGACTAATCTTATTAACCTTATTAAAACAAACAATTTATTCTACTGTCCAGTTAATAAACTTGTTCACTTCCTCACTCATGTATTAACAGAGTAATTAATCTGTACAAAACTTACCTCTCAAGTCATAATTTTGTGTTTAAGTGTAAATCATCGACCCATAAACCAACCTGACCCCCCCCAAATTAAAACACTAGCAATAGTGAGAAATATGGCTTATTGAAACATTCATTTCTACATAGATTTTTCTGTATTTATTGGAAAACATTTCATTTATATCCTACATTATATTTCAGGATGAAGTGGCTAAATATGATCAGATATGCGAAGATGCTTACGAATTAGCTAAAAAACGGACAGTTACACATAATCGTGCTTGGATTGATTCTCCATGGCATAATTTCTTCGAAAATAAAAATCCGATGTATTTACCTAACACGGGAGTAGAAAACCATGTCTTAGAACATATTGGTAGGTTTCCATGGGGATTTTACTGGAATGTTATCGTTTACAATACTATTTTCCACCTTATTCGTTATCTCTGTCTCGGTGTTAAGCCCGGATAAAGAAGGAGGTTTGAAGATAGGAGCAGCAACCAAACCCCGTAGTAAACAATCCTGCCAAAAAATGCTAATTAGGAAAATTCAATTTAAACCATTCAAACTCTGACCTGGGCGTTGAAGAATCTCCACTTGCAAGAATTATGACGCTGAGTTGTCCCATACTGGGACGAAACGGTCGTCCAGTACTTCCAGGTTTTGCATGGTGTTCTAGCTTCAATGGACTCATGATTTCAACTATTGAAATTTCTAAAATGTCCACAAAACCCCTTCTAATAATTAAAATATGCACACTATTAATACTTAACAACAGCACATATTATGTGTGTGAAACAGTGAGGTATAGTTTCCTTATCACTTATCTGAAACTAAAGTTGGATTAAGGTAATCAAGGTAGCACAAAAAGTGGTTGTATAGCTTCCTCATTATTATTATTATTACGTCTTGAATTTAATGTTTCGTTAAACTAGATTTTAATAGTATCCTTTTTTTTAGGTCATGCAATTAGTGAACCTCCTGAAGGTATGATTATTCATCCAGGTTTGAAACGTGCACTCAAGGAGCGCAAAGATTTATTAGAACAGAAAACAGCTAATTGGGCTCTTGGTGAATTGTTCGCTTACGGATCATTGCTAAGAGAGGGTATTCACGTTAGACTATCAGGTCAAGATGTGGAACGTGGAACGTTTTCACATCGACATTGTGTTTTACACGATCAGGTACATTGTTCATTTTTCATGTGAATATAATGTATTTTATGGCAACGGGGAAATGAAAAACGATTTTGTGACTACGAATTACAGCATGATACAATAATATCCTAAGTTTGAGATTATTAGTCTAGTAGGCTAGATCGCATTGCATACGGATAGATGACCAACAAGTGAGAATCAGATTTTAGGCTACAAGCAATCAATACGTGATGAAACCCGGAGTAGAAGTCAATAATAGAAAGAAATTCAAGTAGTGAAGAGAGAGGCTAGAGATCTGTTTGTCTTCGCCAACTGCCCGAACATCATTCTATTTTTTTGAGTTAGTATTCATTGTAAGGCCACAACATAGTGACAATAAACGTTTATATATATTTATATTCACTATAGTTTTACTGCATAGGATTTCAATATTCTATTTCTAAATATAATCTGGTAGTTGACAGGAGATCCTAAACCCAGGTTTCGTGCCATTTCAGATTCATCAACACGGTATACCTGTAATCTTAAGGGGACTGATGCACCCTGGTTTATTTGACCCCGTGTCACCCAGCTCCACAGTCAGAGACGTTATCGCTAAGTTATTTGCTCAGCGAATAACCTGTTGGACTGAGGTACATTTACAAATGATTTATCACTGAATAGTGACTAACTGCCGGAAAATGTTTTAGGTATTTTTAGTGTTTTGAAGGCAACAACCTGTTCTACTACTCTCCTCTTATGTCAGAAGCATGGTTTTCTGGTATTAGTTTCCGTAAAACTAGTTGAAATGTCGGTCTGATACAGCAGCAGCAGTTTCATGAAAAATGTACAGATCTAAGGAATAGGATCAAAGATTTTTGTACTCGAATTTGCATTCTACCCATTCAATATTCCACCACGTTGTTGAAAAGTTATCAAATATTCCTTATATTAAGTTTGGTTGTTTTGAACAATTCATCGTACTAAATCCTTCAGATAGTCCATTTTTACATCTTGCATTCAAGAACAAATCATTAATTTCTTCAGATCGTGTATGGCTGTTCAAATCGTGCTTATCAGCAATTTTCTAGTCTTAGTCCTCAAACTAGTATATTTAACTAAATGATGGACTTCATTATAGTTGTCTTACAAGTTTTCTAAACAAATGATTAATTTTGATGTTAGCACACTGTAAGCTATCATTTTCGTATTCTGAATTTACCTTGGCTTATCTACTAAAATTTTGGAATTCGTGCCTAATTTCAATATATATTGCAAAGTATATCTAATGTTAGAACGCTTGTCACATTTAACTTTTTCTCTTCAGGAAGTTGATAAGAAAACATATGTTCCGCTTAACCATCTTTATCCTTCACAAGCACCATTTACTGTATGCAACTCGAGTTTATCTGAATACGCAGTAATGGGCTTTGAGTTGGGTTACTCATTGACAAACCCTGAAGCTCTCGTTATATGGGAAGCTCAGTTTGGTGATTTCAACAACACTGCTCAATGTATAATTGATCAGTTTATTTCTTCTGGTCAACAAAAATGGGTACGTCAATCAGGAATAGTTCTTTTGCTTCCACATGGTTATGAAGGTATGGGTCCAGAACATTCTAGTGCACGTATCGAACGATTCTTGCAGATGTGTAATGATGAGGAAAATCATGTCCCCGTGAGTATATTATTTCCCATGTTTCTTTTCTAGTTATGACTTGTATAGTGCATAAGTTTGATACTTTTTCACAGTTGTTTTTATCATTTTATACATTGGTTTCCAACATCAAATTAATAGAGTGGGATTTTTGTACTATCTGATGTATACGATAGGTATGTGTTTACCAGTTTTTTCTAACCTATCTGAAATGTATTGCCTTAACCTAGAGGTACTTAAAATTCATCGTCATTCAGGTGTGTTGCTTCCGTTCGCATGGTTCAGTGAGTTGTCCGACATTATTTCAAATTGTATCATATTCTTTCGTGTTGTAAACATTTAAACTGACGTTTGATGTTTGCTAGTATATTTGTTCTCCCGTTTGGTGTATCGGCTTGTGTTATCAGAAGACCGGTTTATCTTCGGAAGCGCTAAGTAAAGTATTTCACTGTCATCTGAGTAGACGTGAGACATCTAGAAGTTTGGAACTACCACTTATTACTGGCGCTTTGTTGATTTACGTTGTTTTGTTAATACTTTACTGTTATCTTTCTCTTTCCATTTATATCATTGTATTCAGTCGCCGTCAATGGTAAGCAAATTTTATGGATCCATATGGCTAATTATTTTCTGTGTACATGTATTTTCTTTTCTTAATTCTACCGTGTCATCAACAACTATTATAAAATAGTGAAAATTCCCATTTGGATATTTGGTAAATACAGAAGGAACGAATTGAGCGAAGAAACTTCTTTTCAATTAGTTTTTCATCATGGCTCTACACTAATATATATATATATATATATATATATATATATATATATATATATATATATATATATATATATATATATATATGATTTACAATAATGATATAATACTCATTGAGTGGATACGTTACATAATAATTACTTACTATCGCTACATAGACGATACTTTCATAGTGTTAGAAAAAGAGCATGATAAAGACAATTTACTTAATACATTTAATAACGTTCATCCATCTATTAATTTTACATCAGAAGATGAACAGAACAATAGCATATCGTTTTTAGATGTCCAACTAAATAGACGAGCAGATGGAACTTTAAAAAGAGGGTTACACAGGAAGTCGGCAACAGGACAATACACCCATTTCTACAGTGCAGTTCCAATCAGATACAAAAGGAACTTGATAAAGATCTTGACCCATCGTGCCAGAGGGATTTGCTCGGAAGACACCATTGAAGAAGAATTGGCCAAAATTCGGAACATACTTAATACGAACGGGTACCCTTTGAAATTCATTGACAAACACATGATGGTGATGAAACCAAAGGTGAAGATACCCACGGTCCCTAAGAATGTACTATTCATTAAATTACAATACGTAAATGATACTACTGAAGAGATCGTGACTCAAAAACTAAAAAGAGCTGTACAAAAAACATTTAAATCAGCCAAACTGAATGCTATCTTCTACAACTACCCCAAAATAAGAACGACCAGTAAAAATAGGCTGCCTGAATTCGCCAAATCTATGTGTATCTATCAGTCCAACTGCTCCTGTGGAACCAATTATATAGGGCGTACAATTCGGCAAGTTTGTCACCGTATTACATAACATCATCCTTCGTGGCTAAATAAAGGACAGGTAAAAGTGATTAAAAGTTCTATTCTCGCTCATTTGGTTGACACAGGTCACCAAGTTGAATTGAATAAAGCTTTTAAGGTTATCTACCATATCCCATCAAATTTACCACATGGTTTACGAGTGCGCCTTTTGCACATTGCGGAAGCCATCGCAATCCATGTTCACTAACCTGACCTTTGTATTCAAAAGAAATTTGTTCAACCACTTTCGCTGCCTTGGCCATCGGTATAACATTCCCTTCAATAGAACTATTTTTCATAATTCTCACATTTGGGTTTTTTAATTTTTTTTTTAACTTTATAATTTATCAACATTCATCTCTTGATTCTTACGTAACTACTATTCTATTGACCATCTATTACAAATTTTGTTCCTTCTCTTTTTCATATATTATTCAACGTAGCAACTTCTTGATTTAATAATTATTTTGAATATTAATAATCATCTTTCTTCCAAACTACTCGATGTTAGTCTAAATGTTATTATGTAGTTATTACGTAACGTATCCACTCATTATTGTAAATCATATATATATTAGTGTAGAGCCATGATGAAAAACTAATTGGAAAGAAATTTCTTCGCTCAACTATTATAAAAGACTAGTTGCAAACTGTATCTCCTAAAACAAATATTTGAATGTCAACTGTGCTTTGATGAGACCGTATGTATATCTGGACGGTACTAAGTGCAAAAACAGTCGTCCAATTTCAGCTTCATAATAAAAATGTCAAAAATGTATTTTTAGAATAACTAACTGAGGACTCAGTAAATCATGAATGAGATTGTTATTCCGAAATGGCCTTAAATAATTTTCATTTTACTGTAAACATAGAGGTTAGATTACGTAAGAATAAGTTAAGAAAGGTTCAAAGGTGGTTTAACTAAGCGAAAGCATTAGTTCATGACTCCATAAGTTGTTGATTTTAGCTTTGTTGGGGAATACAGCCTCTCGTCTTTTATGCTTCTGTTATTGATGCCCTAGTACGGCCGAGGGTGGAGAGAGTCCGCTCTTTCTCCCAGTATGCTCTCAAATGGCCAGGTGTATACAGCCACTGCTAGACAAGTCCAACTCACTGCCTTCTCGCGGTGGGGTAGACCTAGGGGAGTTGGGAAATCCTGATTCCAAACCAATAGTGCACATGGGCTCCAGCATCCTGATGGGGCAAATTGCGTATGAACCTATTATTGGTCACGGGCTACCATGGGACTGCATCTCTTAACGTTGTTCCACTTTCTTGTTGAATAGACCTCTAGGTTAAAGGCTCGGGGAGTGGCTCCCTAACGAAACCACCTGCATCGGTTTGGGTGCGTGGGCAGTATCCAAGCCTTCACACAAGTTGAATGATGAAGTGTGCGCATATGTATTTGGTGCCTCCTTATACTAATATTTATGTGTTTAAGTTAATAGAAATAAATTTTAATCTCTTCATACTATCTTGTTGTGGATTGTGATAACAAAAGATTTCTGTTGTCTTAACTTTTTATATATTCTTCTCTAACAAAACTGCTGTTTCGGTACTTAGTTAGTAGATAACCAGTGTAAGAATCAATATTAAGGACTTTTCTACGTTTGTTCATACATACTGTATTGTGTATTAGCGCGCAAATATAATTGTATACTTCTAGAATGGACAACTCGAATGCTCAATTTTGTGTATAGACTTGTGCAAGTGATTATTCAGTTCATAAATGCGTATAAAGATAAACTATATAAAAATTTGTAAATAAATAATATATTTGTAATAGCCCAATGAGTAGAAAAATTAGATTTTCTGACGTTTCGTGACATAATGTAAGCCACTTCTTCAGAGAATAAATAACCAAATCAAAATTAATCGAAGTTTAAATAGTATACAAATTTTTGATATGTGCATAGTCGTTATAAAAAGTCAGGCATTATTCTACTTTTTACCACTCAAACAGTAACGTTCTCTCTTAGAAATTGTTATTGTCGACGTATTTTTAGCCATTTTTATTTCATGTTGGAAAGAGCCAGAATATTCCTCGAAAGAAGCCCAGAGAGGATTTAAAACGCTTGGAAACATTTTATTTATTCAGCACTAAGTAGAAGTTTCCCAGAAGCATCTAGAAAGTGAAGAGTCACATGTCACATTTCTAATTGGATGATTACTTATCCTGCTACTATGTTTAGTTGGGCTGCAGAAGCCCAAAGCCATCTAAAATGCTATAAATACATCCTGCTAAAATAATCAATAATTATAATCAAAATCACATATTTTTTCAGTTTACGACTGTGTTGTTTTTTATGATACATACACCTCATTTTTGGACGAAATAATTCTAGTGAAACATTTGTTATGACGGACTTAAGATTGAACCCAACAGTTGGGATATAATTCATTGGAGAGTGAAGAATCTACAAAATTGTTCAGTCGTTTATGTCATTTCATCATCTTTATTCTTCAGTTAGTATTCTGTACATAAATTTGTTATTTTTTACAAAAAGAAATTCTTCTGTCTAGTTTTATCGTTGATACCGAATCATTCTGGGACTTACGTCAATGATACAGTCTCGTTAATAACCATCATTTAATCATATCATCTGTCAATCAGTATTCATTTCTTTCATTTTTGACGACAGAAAATTTGTTCATTAAATCATATAAATTTTCCTTCATAACGTCTGTTGAGATGTATTTTATTGTAAAAAAGAAAGGGGAAGAATCGCTTGAGTAAGATGCAGATTAGTCAAAATAGTTCAGGTCTGTGCTATTCGAAGTAATGATATGCAGAAAAATCGTTTCATCATGCAAAGTAACATGTGTTTAGTGGGTTTTTTTTTGCGAAAACTGTGTATCTCATAATTTATTCCTCTAATGGTGTAGTAAAATCGTCATATTATTCTTTTTATTAGAAGCCTCAACATTCTCTCTTGTCAATGATTTTCTTTTTATGTTTGCTGTTGACACTGAAAGTAGTAATCATTTTTGTTCCAAGTAGTTGTTGCCGAAGTTGTTAATTGTATGCCGCTTAGTCTTTAGTATTACTAGCATTGGACATAATTACCAAGCTATGGAACTATCGTCATACAAAGTATTATCAGATTCATAGAAGATAAATTCCTTTGCGTATAAATATCAATTGTGTGTACTTTCAATTAGCTTTATATCTTCATTGATTTGTGTTTTGGAAAATGAGTTAAACCTTGAATGAAATGTGAAGTTGTTATGTGTGTTGTTTATCTATATGATGGAAAAAGTAGGTCTTCACCTGTCTTGATCACAGTATTCAGTGCGAAATCCTCTCTTTGATTATTCAGTCTTTGAACTAAATAAACAAGAAATTCATATCTAGGTAACTGCGTTTATTTAGAAATGAGTTATTTCTGGGTAATATTTCTGTTTGACTTGGAATACCTTTTTTTACGGTGAATATTCACTACAGTAATTGCTATCTCTCATCTATTCTCAAAATTAACATTCACAGATCTACTTTGCTTGTTTTTTTTTTCTGAATCTAATTATATTTATTTCTATAGAACATTAGAAAAAGCTGTAAAAGCGGTTATGTTAAAATAATCTTGTTTAAAATACAAAGTGTGACTTATTGATTTCTCTAGCTAATTTGTACATATTTAAGAATGTTTTGTTAGTTAAACTGGATAATCAGGTGATATTTTCTTTTAACAGTTTGCAAAATAATTTCTTTCATACTTTTTTCATATATCGGCTTATCTGTATTTTTAGTAGAATTTTAATGTTATCATTTATATGAGTACATTTCTTGATAATCATGCTAGTGTGTGTGTGTGTGTGTGTACTTAATCTTGTTTTTGTGTTTTTATTAAAAATTTATCACTAAAGCCTAAGCGTTGCACGGACAATTTTATTTTGTTTTACTTCTGGTACTAGTGTCTAGTAGAATACATTATCTCGTATACAATCAAAACATATTCATTAGCCAAATACTTTATAAAATATAATCAGGTTTTAATGATTTTCATTGATGCAAAGAAAGAAGTTCAGTAATTTACACCCCAATCTTATTAATTATGTTTTTTTCATTTTCAAAAAAAATCAATCTCATTCTAGGTTTATAGCGATAATTTTGTCATGCAACAGTTACATGATACAAATTGGATTATTGCAAACTGTACTACACCAGCGAATTTCTTCCATATTTTACGACGACAAATTCTGCTACCGTTCCGTAAACCAGTAAGTGATTTGGGATTCATTATGAAGTTGTTCATTCAGCTTTTAAAGAGCGCTAGCCTAATACTTAAATCACCAATAAACCTCTTATTCAAACCGCGTTTAGTCGAGGTAATAATATGGTATCACTAGTCCTCTACATCTAGAATGTGACTTAAAGCCGATTGATTACACAACTCACGAAGTAAAGATTCGTTTACTTGGCTTAGAACTACGCTATATGTATGACAGATTTTGGTGAGGTTTCGTTCTCTCAGCCTAGAGAATGAAACTTCACCAAAATCATCCACTTGGACCTGAAATCTCTACCATCTCAATGACCATACTATCCGATTGCCAAAACGGAATTAGGTAAAGCAGCAATCATAATCAGAATTTATTGGTTGAAAACCTAATCCTCTAATCACTAAACAACCACTGCAAAAAATAAATCTCTGAAGTTAATCCTCTCATTAAGAAACGATTGTGTATTGTAAGTGAATACAACCCATGAACTTGTATTTGTAAATTCTACAAAATATTACTTCTAGATGATTATCAGGCCATAATGTATCAAATGTTTCCACCATGATTTATCAAGTTGTTTACTCAATGCTTTGACTAAACAATAGTTGTCTTTGAGTGGTCTAGATGAATTTAACCCTTCCATATATTCCGAAAATAAAACAATTTACTTAAGCAAGAATATGGTGGATTAGATAAATATGATTGCTTTTATTTTGTATAACAATATTCTTCCACTTTTATTTTCTTAATGACCTTCATGTGTGACTTACGCAATCATGTTTTAGCTGATTGTCTTCACTCCCAAGTCATTGTTACGTCATCCGGATGCAAGATCGCCGTTCTTTGATATGCTTCCAGGCTCAGAGTTCCAACGCTATATTCCTGACAGTGGTCCAGCTTCACAGAAACCTGAAAATGTGAAGAAATTAATTATTTGCAGCGGCAAAGTAAGTTTTATCATGTAATTTACGTGCAATGTGATGCATGACATAATGTATTTGCTCCCTCATTTGTCTTACTTTTCGAAGTGATCGTTTGCTGATTACACAACCAAGTTATACTTACTGGATTATATAAGTGTATAATACTTATTCAAGTATATGTTCGGTTCTTTACCGTGTATTTCCAAATCAGTATATTTTCGTCACTGATTATTGATACCCAGATTCCTTATCATTCTCGACTTATTTACAAAACACTTTCTGGACATATTATTTTTACTTTTTGTATTTGCTAGGATAATTCTATGTTTATTTAAGAGCTTTACCAATTCTGCCATGCAAAATATTTTCCTACACTCTATTGACCTTATTATCACTCCTAAACTGCAAGTATGTGGTAGTGTTACTTACACCCCCATGTTTTATACAAGATTTTCAAGTCATAAAATGTCCAAATGCTTGAACAGATGTCCGGTTTCGTTGATCGTCAAATATCTTTCCACTCTGTCGTTTCAAACCATATTCTCAATGTTCACTCTTTCTTAACATCATTTCTGCTATACTATTTTGATTGATTTGCTTTCCATCTTTTAAAATTTGTCTCTTCGTAATAATTTAACTCATCTACCAGTTAGTTAGATATGAGCCACTTGATTACCCAAACTATATTAAGTAAAATGGGGTTTGGACCCGGAAGTTGGTAGTCGAAAGCCAGACGCCTTAACCATTATGCCATTGTCAACTTGGGGCGACGCGTGTATTTATGCCTGAAGCTCTCCTTAGATTCCATTTCACTGTTTGGTGTAACCAGTAATCTAGAAATGTGTTTTTAATTGACTTTTTTCTTTTTATATTACCTAGTGCGCATTGACTTTTGTAACCTATTTAGTCATGCTACCATGTAAAATGACATTCATCAATAATTATCACCATTTCTTCATAGAGAAATGTCTTTCTCAGCCTTTCTTTCCTCATTAAAATAAATAAGTTATAATCAATGAGATGTATACTTGTTTAATTTTCCTTGATTATTTAGGAAAAAAAGTTAAGTTATCTACTTTCCGTTTGTGATTATTCTCTAAATTTTAGTTTTGAATACATAGAATATTCTTGTCAGCGTTTCAGTCGAAAACCATAAGTAGTTCCTTAGAATTGATTCTTATCAGATTTCTCTATCTATGAAGTTCTATCTATTCCTAGTATTTTTTGTGGCTGAACTTGTCGGTGACCATCAGGATTTTAAAAGTTTCTCGTAAAACCATATCGTTTTTCAACTGTTTTGTTAGCTGCTCTAAGATTAATCCTTTTTATATTTTAAATAATATATATATATATATATATATATATATATATATATATATATATATATATCCACAGCCCAGGCAATTAAAACATTGAGAAGGACACTTCAGAAAACTATTTATTTATTTTTCAGTTATCTACTACGCTAAAGAAGTCAGAATTTGAGATTACAATAAACTTCTGTTTGATTCTTTCTACTTTTTAATAACTTTTTAACCAACGTCACTTTGTGGTGTTAATCGTAATTTCACATTTCATTAATACAGTGAATTTAAAGCACCATTTCAGTGAATATTCATGAGGCAGTGTTGTTTATATTCGTTTTGTTTTTCAGATTTATTATGAGTTAGATAAAGAACGCAGATCGATTAATCGAGAGGCAGATATAGCTATCAGCCGAGTAGAACAATTGACTCCTTTTCCATATGATTTGATTCAACAAGATTTAGAACGTTATCCAAACGCTATTATTCAGTGGGTACAAGAGGAGCATAAAAATATGGGACCATGGAGTTATGTACAACCAAGAGCTAATCATTTAATATTTAGAACAATGCCTAATCGTCTTCACAATAAAATTTTGTACGTTGACATATTCCCTTCTATTCAAATTGTGATTTCTTTTCACTCTTTTTTTCCGCAACAGCACTTCATAAACTTTTGTTTACTAAGTTTTCAAACTACGTGAACATCTTTTTTTCCAAATTCTATATTGAAATGTATATCAACGTCACTAGTTGTATAACAGTAAAACTTACTGCAATAAGTTCATGAAGATGGCATAGTAGTCAATCAGTCAGTACGAAGTTCCACTTTATTACTGACTGACTACTATGTCATCTTCATGAACTTATTGCAATATGAATAAATTCATGTCTAAATTGCTTATAGAATACTAATTTGTGGTCATATATATAGAATTAATATTTCATACAGCTAAGTATGAACTATCTTTACAAATGTTCGTAATATAGTTACATTTTGCTGGTTAACGGTATTAATTTTTTGGTATTTCATACAATCAAATGTGACCAAACTGATTGTAAAACTATCAGCAATGATTTTGTATATTGTTATTTATCAGTTTACTCATATTAACAAATAAAACCTTTTATAACCGGTTTCTTTATATCTGTGGGACAACTTAATGGTATTTTCTAGCTTTCTTTTTCGTTTATATTACATTGTTTTTTTTACAGAAAACTGTTACTTTTGTAGCAGAAACTAGGGATTAGAATCTACTCATAACTATACTGTTTACATGATTATTATTATTGTACAATCAACCTTATTTTTACGGAACACTATTTATATGACTTGTAAGTCATCTTGTTACTTTACTAATTCTCAAATATCGATTAGTAAGGCTGAATTCGAACAGATTTAATCGTATATGAACATCTCGGCGGACCAGGCACAGTTTTACTTTTCCATATATATAGGTTATATATCAAGCGTTATGTCGGATTAGATATGCTGTTTTATTTATTTGTATCACTTTAATCGTTACAATTACGTTGTCGTTTAGTTTATTAAACTTTATTTCAATTTTGTTAAATCCTCACTGTGTTTAATTTCTTTTTAGATATGCCGGTCGACAACCTAGTGCTGCTACAGCTGCTGGGAATAAAGCAATGCACTTGATGGAGATCTCTCATTATCTGAAAAATGCTCTGTCATTATCTTAGCTTTGACAGTTTCGCTCTTATATGGAGTTTATTTGTTAACTGATTCTCTGAGAGACTTCTTTTAATTGTCTTTTAGTTTACCCTATTTATCATTTTGTCTCACTTTCCGCATTATTTATCTTAACTCTTAGGACTACTTTGTTTTATTGTACGTGTAGTTGATTAAAATTTATCGCACTTAATTGAATAAAGATATTTTAACTACATGTAATATTGAATTACTCTGCTGTTAATTAGTTGCTTTATGTAGTTGAATTCTTCCACAAGTCGTTAACACATTATTTATTTTCTTAAATTTAATAATGTCCTCCAAGTTCATTAACAGATTAGAGAGTATCGACGTCATGGTTTCCTATTGTTTTTGTTGAATTTATCATCGGAAATGAGCCTATTCTGTTAATTATTTCAAGCAATAGTTAGCAGTCTCAAATAGTACAAGTCTGCATGCATTTTTAACGATCGTAAATCACGGTAACTACATCAGTCTTATTTATTTCATCATGTATCTTTATAACCACTTTCACTACCATTGGTTATCTCGACCGTACCGTGTCATTGTGTGAATTATTAGTTGGAAAACATCGAAGCCTGGTTCTGCTACGCAGAGGCTGTTTTCTAGGAACATAATTCCTCGCTGTAGTGAGGGCAGTACCGCGCGGACTCAACGGATACGTCACATCTGTTATATTTACTAGTGGCACTTCGAAAACTCATGCAACTCTAAAAGGGTCAATTCTTAAACGCAGAGATCTAACTGGCTGAAGAATTTTAGACCAACTCGAAAAACATCGATCTACATCATGGGTCAGCAACAAGCGTATTGATCCGAATGAGAGGTCGTTGGTCAACGGACTTTAACTAGGGATTATTTAGAAAACATTTCTTGTCTAAGCTTCCAAATGGGTGCAGACAGTGTTTGTCTCACTTCAAAACAACGTTATGTACGAGCTGGCTGCATCTACGACTGAATTCTAGAGACCACCAGAACTTCAAACACCGAAGCCTATTCAGTCAAAAAAAAATAAAACGATACGAAATGACATTACGGCACATTCATAATCTGACAAGCTGCCTTGATATTTGTAGTGACTGTAAACTCTTAAACTCTTAGAAGTTGTACTTCACGAAGATGATCTGTCTCTAAATAGTATGAGGCGGATAATACTAACTAGTGTTGGTTCCCTCCGACATGAAAAACTTTTCAGAAGACTTCCCAGCCAGCACGCGTTGATGGTAACCATTGCCCACTACCTCGTCGACACCGACGTTAACATTCTCCCATTTAATTCGAACGACCGACAGCTTGAAGTAGTTTCGAACTTACAGGCGTCAAATGGCAAACCGATCACCACATATAATTGGTGATGTGTTTATCTTAGCGGGGGTTTACACAAAACTCATCCATTGAAACCCGCAAGCAGAAAGTCAGTAGACGGAAATACTAATTCATTTGTTTGTGTAACTTCTTTTTCCGGTTGTATATTATCCCTAGTCGTAATAAGGCAAACAATCTATCCATACTACCAACAAATACGCGATAAGTACCCTGTAATTTGCCAAACGCAACCGAAATTGCAGGATATAGCCAGCAATGTTAAACATGACATCACAACTACAGGACCACCTGTATTTTCGAAATCGCATCGAGCAGCCCCCGGAAAGCTGAGTTTGACGAAAAACGAATTCGATCACATGATGAATTTAGGGGCCATTCGACCGTCAAACAGCTGATAGCCATCTCCCTTGCATATGGTCTCTAAAAAGGACAGCAACGACTGGCGTCCAACTGGTGACTACTGGCGACCATTCCTGATCCGTACCTGTTGCCTCACGTTAACGTTTTTATATATTTTTCGAAAATCAACTTAGTCAAAGCATATAGCAAATTCCCATAGCTGCTAAAATGTTAAATCGGAACGGACTTCCGAAATTTTCCAGGATATACTATTGATGATCAAAGCATCTGACTCATAAAATACAAAGTTGCGGCCATTTTAGACTGCCCAGAACCGACCTCAGTCAAGCAATTACGTTTGTTTAACAGCCTAGTAAGTTTCTATAAACGGCTCTTACTAAATTGTGAGTCTCATTTCGTGGAAATGTCAAATCCATCATTTTGGACGATACTGCGAAAGAAGCATTCTCCACGGTTATGAAACTTATTACCGAAGCAACACTGTTTGCACACCAGGACAACGTGGCACCAATCAGTATCTCAGTAGACGCATTCCACTCGGCGATCGGAAAAGTCTCATAACAGTGTGTTAACCACACATAGCAACCTTTGTCATTTTTCTAGAGACGGTTGCTAGACACCGAATCTAGTTATAGGACTTTCGGTAGGAAACTTCGGCTATGTATTGTGCTGTACGACCATTTCGACACTGTTGAAGGCCGAGAATTTGTAACAACCTTGGACATATAAAACAGCACTACCTCTCTTATTTTTCATAGCTAATCCCCAAATCAAAGCTATTCCCAAATGGTTTATTAACATCGCCATAAAGTTATGTTACGATCTGACAAGCACGCAATATGGTCGATTTAAGAGAAAATAATAAATAAATCGACAAATAACCTGACTAATAACTATTTACAAATACGGCGTTGTTTCCTCTCCTTGATTAAGACATGCTTCCATGACTTGCACACACTTCATCGGTTGACGAACACTTGATTAGTTGGAGATATCGTACAGTACATTTCCTGTGAGGTTACTATATTAGCTGTATTGATTTACTTACCTAATTTCACACTCAGTGTATAGGTGATCCGTTAGATCTTCAGGATAGTGAGTTTACGACATGACTCTCACGGTTACGCTCACGTTAAAGCAATTATTGTCAGTAGCCCAGTGTCACTGAAACGACTGAACTGCCAGAATTCGGTTTGAACGCAGGACTGACGAACCAAAATGTAATCGAATAGACCAGACTACGCACTTCTGTATAGTTTACCAAGCGTTTAAATTAAGCACAGACTTTGTTTTTTGATATAATTTCTTACGAGTGTATCGAACCAACATCACGTTGTTTCTGGTATGAGAGTAGTGTAGTGGCATTAAACCCTAACCACACAATCCTCAAGGCTGAATACGAGACAACTGAGAAAGTAGATATTCAACATTCAACGCGTAGAAAATCACATCGATGAAGAAGGCGGGAAGGTTAAATTGAATTAATTCGAGTTGATCGAATGGCATGGCTCGGCCATGCGGGTGTGGTCCCTGCCGAATGTTGCCTTATATATTTTATTCACATTGAATATATTGTTCTTTCACCAACCTGAACTTCTTCTGTATCATGTATTGGTAATTGTTACGATGCGGTGAGTTAGTGTAGACGATGATGTGACTTATACGTAAGATCTTATAGATTAGTCAGTTATATCATGACAAATGTACAATTTTAGGATTGAGTCTATTATTGGAGCAGTACTAATGTCATAGTAGACCATAATTTTACAACCTCACCCGATAATCAACAATCGCCACAACGCCTCTGTGGTACCTGACAACCGACTCAAAATAGCGCGTTCTGGAGGAAAAGTGGAGTTTCCGCACTTAAAAATCTACAAGACATTTTTTTTCGCTTCGATAAATTTGTTTTGTATAAAAAAACTACTTTTACTATGCCTACATATATATTTTTGTTCCAAAAAAATAAATACTGTTGTTGCTAATATCCTTACTCACATGTGCATGTTTTGATTTTTCTTTAAATACACCCATGAAGATCATTCTGAAAAAATCGTTTTTGCGCTTTTGGATATTTACAAAACGCATGTATAAGATCTTATTTTCCTTTTTTCGCAAGTTTTGTTTCATTACGCACATATGAGTGTAATTCAACGTAGATTTACACACCTCTTCTTTTTCTTTTCCAGGACGGCTGTGAAAGGTATAAAAAGGGCGAAGTTTACGATGAATCGAAATTTTCATTGCACTCGTTTTTTCATTGCTATATTGTATCACATGGCCCCTTATAGTACGGAAAGACAACCATACGCTGCTGTGCATAGCAAGCTATCGGAGGAGTGTTTATCAGTTACTAATTCATTCGGCTTAAACTTCTGGCTGGCCACGTCTTAGGTTCATCATCGGTCCACTAGAAGGGCGGTCTTCAGCAGTGCATCAATCCCCAAGATAAATAGCTTTGCACGTCTTCGACATTTGATGCTGACCGTATTAGTTGTAATGGAATCACTTAGCTGAAGGCGTTCGGTCACGCAACCTCACCAGATCACAAGTGGGTACGCTGTTAGTCGCTTCCCACACAATAGCTAGCCAGATTAGTCACTTCGCGATACATCGATATTTTATCAAATATATCTTCGAGCCTCTTTTCTTCTAAATCCTGATTTCACTGGGTTAGCACGTTTCGATTAAGTACGAAGATTCTGGTTAAGGTGTTATCAGAATCCAAATACTTGTGGTATCTTAATTACGGAAACACTAATTCATGAGCATGAAAATCGTACATATACCCGGTTGTTCAGTAGGTTTAAGTATTTGTGCTAGGCGACAAATTGGAATAAACTATTTAGTCGTAAAATTATAACTTTCTTATTTCTTGTCTAAAGTGAGAAGGAAATACGAATCCACCTAGTATCGGACTTCTGTCAGCTCGTAATATTGGAAAAATAACTTTCATTGTCATTGGTGAATAACTGTCTCATACGTAGCAGAGTTGAACTCTAGTTATTGCATTAAAATTGTCTGCTTACACTTCATGTCAACAGAAACTGCACGATCACAAACGTTAATTAGTTAAAAGTAGTAAAATGAGATCTGGTGAGATACTTTGACAAACACAGTTGACACATGCTCGTTAGTGCCTGAGAAAGATACATAATGCCGCATTCCTAATACATGAGACGACAAAACTACGCGCGCTATTCAAAAAGGGCAGTGGTATTTTTCCTCGCTGAGTAAATTCTATTGCTTTGATCGTTTATACGTATCTAAACTACTGTTTTTCACTTTAAATAAGTTTCTTTCAGTTAAAGTATTCGATAAGATCATCGTTTTTGTTTCCAAAGTAGTTTTCTTGTCCGTACTTTTGAGTACTCTGTTTTTCTATTGTATCTGTTAGTACTTTTGTTTCTAACGATCCACAGTTTTCCACTTTTTGGTCATAGATCATTTTTGTCTCTGAGTATTTTTGCATCTAGTTCTTTTTAAAAAAAAGACCCGTGTTTAAATGACTGCGCAGTGCAATAAAAGCAATTACCAACGTCCGGGCTGTCGTTATCCTGTTGAAATCGGCATGCAGCGCGACAAATGCAAAGGCTGGTACCATGAAGTTTGCACAAAGTTAACGCCTGCAGCTTTCAAACAGTTCAGTAAGTGCTTGTGTATGGCTTTGTCAACAGTGCTGTTCGGATGCTAACAGCTTGCTAACCGAGACCATCTCATTGGTAAATGCTGCGAAAAAGTGTTTTGGTAAGAGTGATCGGGACACATCAACAAGTACTAGCTCTTACGACACGCGAATTAGCGTGAGGCAATCTCAAGTGAATTCTGAATTAGCTGACTCCCACCGACCAAAGGAGGGAGAACAGTCTTCAAACAGGTCTGTCCTAACTAAAAACTGAAGAAAAGAAGTTTCTTCTGTCCCACGTCCTCTAAATGGTATCCAGAAAGAAGCACATAGAAGCCGCGACCGCAAGACTCGATCAGTTTCTAGTGGGACACATAACCCTCCGGAATCCTACAGTATGTTTGACGCGACTGGGGTTGCTTCTCCAAGCAACGTTGACGAATGGGTACAGGTTGTAAGGAAGAACTAGAATAACGATGTAAAAGGGAACCCTGCCCTCTCAAAAGTAGTCGAGAAATCAAAGGCTGATCACAGTGACAGATCAGTTATTTTCCATAGAATCAAGGAGAGCGAAAGCTCTGAAACGAAAACTCGTTTCGAGAGTGACATTGTGCTGATAAAACAGCTACTTAATCAACTCATGCCTCAAAATATCTCCGGAGTCACCTTGCTAAAGGTGTATAGACTAGGTAGTCAAGCGAACTTGAAGCCTAATCAATCCAGAATGCCTAAAGTAGTATTCAAATCTTCGAGCGAAAAGAACCTAATTTTGCAGAATGCACATTAATTTAAGGGTTCGGGAGTTTTTATCCGTAAGGACTTTCCGTTGGCAGACCGTGCAAAAAAACTGGAAGCCGATGAAGAACTACAAATTAGGTTAGACGCTGGCGAAACGGACCTAAAAATTGTGAATTTTCGGGTTGTGAGGCTTCGTCAGAGAATGATGTCGAAACCACACTGAGTGAAGCACGAAACACTAGTGCCCGAAGCTTGCTCATAAGCGATCGGAACTAGGTGAACAGATTGCCTCTACAAAGCCAGACACAATCGCAGTCACAGAAACCTGGCTGACACAGTCTATTTATAGTATGGAACTCGATTTTGAGGGTTTTACTGCAGTAAAGGCCGACCGAATACACAAGCATAAGGAAGAGGGGGTAGCTCTATTCATTAGGAATGCTATCCCATTTGTCATTATTGGCAGTGTATCCCATACACTGGATAGCGTGACCATTAAAGAACTCGATGTTTTTGGTCTACTAAAAAAGCTTTACATAGGTAAATCCACGGGGCCCGATGAATTGCATCCTAGGCTACTAAAGGAATTATCTAACTTCGTTGCGAACCCTTTAAGTATATGTTTTAAGCTATCCATAAAACAGGGTCGTTTACCAAAAGACTGGGAGAACGCCATAGTAAGTCCTGTCTTCAAAACAGGTACGAAACATAAACCTGAGAATTACCAACCCGTTAGCCTAACTAGTGTGGTTGTTAAAATCTTAGAACAGATTATTCGGAAAGAGCTGTTTAAGTACCTCGATGTAAACCGAATCCTCTCGGAGAAACAGCACGATTTCAGAATAGGTTATTCTTGTTTCACTAACTTATTAGTCACTCGAAAAAGCTGGTGCGCTTTTAAGGACCAAAAGTTCCCTGTAGACGTGGCTTACATTGATTTCAGCAAAGCTTTTGACAAAGTTCCGCACAACCGGCTGTTATATAAGCTAAAAAATGTCGGAATTGGAGGCAATCTATTGACGTGGATAGAAGACTTCCTTGTTGGGCGCCAACAATGAGTACGGGTGAACTCAAAGTTATCTAACTGAGAAACTGTGCCTAGTGGAGTGCCTAGGGTACAGTTTTGGGCCAGTGCTATTCCTCTCGTATGTATATGACCTTCCTCGCTTACTATCATCATCGGTCTTGCTATATGCTGACGATGTGAAGATATGGAGAACGATACGATGTAAGGGTGATAGCTTAGAACTCCAAAATGACCTGAAGAAATTATCCGAATGGTCTCATACATGGCAGCTGCCGATAAATACTTCCAAGTGTGTTGTGATGCATATCGGTCATCAAGGTTCAGATACATACACGATGAATAGCACTGAGCTACCTGTTGTCCAGACACATAATGATTTAGGAGTCATCGTTAGCCAAGATCTGAAGACTACTGCACACTGCCGCGCAATAGCTGCCAAAGGTTTTGGAACTTTATGGTCAATACGTAGGGCTTTTACTCATGTCGACGCTCAAACGTTTTTGACTTTGTATACAGTGTTCGTACGTCCTAAACTTCAGTACTGCATGCAAGCGGCTGGCTCCTGCTTAAAAAAGACAGTGAGCCTCTGGAAAGGGTCCAGAGAACATCAACTAAGCTGATTCCAGGAATAGAGAAGCTTCCGTATGATACTCGACTGGTCAAGCTAAACCTATTCCCTTTGTCATATCATAGAACTAGAGGCGACTTGATCACAGTTTTCAAATTGCTTAGTGATAAATTTGCACCTGATATGTCCTCATTTTTCTTGTCTTCGAAAACAGAATTTATGAGGGCACTCAAAAAACATTCACAAGCCCAGAACAAATTACTTGTCAGCTGATTATCGACTTTCCCACCGAACCATCAACGAGTGGAATTCATTATCTCAGCACGTGGTTGAAGTTCCATCCTTCGACTCTTTCAAAAGAAGTCGGATCAACTGAGAGACCAACATTGTCAGAACTAACAGAGGTCATCAGGCCTCCTAACCTTTCCAAACTGAAACTGATTCGATATCGCAAAAATGGACTAATAATTAACTGGCTGGTATTAAGTTCACAATTGTTATTGCTTAATCAACAAGGTACTCTATGGACGGTGCAAAACTACATCATGTGTAGACAATTTTGATATATTCATATTCATGTACAGGAATATAGTTGTTCACATTGGACGACTGAGATGTGACCTTCAGTGTCATAGCAGCATTTGAGTATTAATTTAAATTATGATGGTTAGTGTGTTAAATTATCCCATAAGTCAACTGGTTATCGGAGAGGTTTGTTCGGCGTATGCTGGTGATCATTTTCACAGGAATCGCTTACGAAGATTGTTAACTATTTGGAAAGTCAAACTGTTAGCGACAGTACAAAAAATACAGACACATTCTGCACAACATTTTTGCAAGTAAAGTTGTTTAGCATTGATATTTATTAAAGAAACTTAAAAATGTGATTGATATATTTGAAGAAGTAGAATCAGACTTGGTTCATACGGAGAATAAAATAGCCGAAACTCGTAGAACTGTTTATATTCTTGGAAATCAGTTTGACAGAATAGGTCGATTCTGCATGAACGAAATTCCATTTGTAGTACAGAAAGGTAATTATTACATTATAATTAACGTAAAATCATCCTACTTTTCTTTGAAATGCCCTGGATTATCATCTGAAGGATATGTGTTAGTGGTTTTCTTTCTGTTGAGTCTTAATTCACCTTGAGCACACGCACTCCTTCAATAAAACAGTATTGTGTTTGTCCTCACCATACGATTTTCAAGTAATAAATAAGACAATTCATCGAGCAACTTTTGTGGGTATATCCTACTCATTTACCATACGATCTTGAATAATTATAAGAATTGACCACGACTCATATCTCTTAGACATTAAGTAATAAAGCATTAAAGGTGGAAATCAGTAAAGTTTGTATGTATGAGAACATGCAGTTTCAGGGTTAGCGGAAGTTAATTTTTATCATTCCGAAGATCTTTACATAATGTTGACTTTCAAACTTCTCTTAACTTTTTAAACGTGTTTCAAATTTAACGCTTCAATTTATTTGGACCGACTTACAAATCTGAACCGATGCAATCACCTGGCATTCGGGAAGTTCCGTTGTACATTTATTATGAATATTTGTACACACATAAGTGACAGATTATGTTATCTTCAGTTAAAATAACATTATGAGTTTAAATATATGCAAACCGGTGTCTCCGCTATTCATCGTTTGCAAGTTATAACGTTTTTAATATCCGAATGCTATACATTTTCACAATGGTATAGCTCGAGCAATGAAGGTTTAAACATGTGCTAACTACAACTGCCCATGCATGTTTATTTAGTTGAAAATTCAAACAAACACTTTTCAGAGTGTGGTTAAGTACTGTCTCGTTATAAGTGACTGGCTTTTATAATTTGAGAGTGGAGATATCTGAAATACGATTAAAAAACTCAAATTTAACAATAGTATTTAAGTCACATGGTTTTTAAAATGACTTTATATAAATTCTGTTAACTTTCAACTATTATTTGCTGAAATAAATATATTTGTACAGAAATTATGATCCTGAAAATAAGGGATATCTTCATATACTTTTCTGTATACTGATACATCTAGATAAAATATCACCTGACAATAATATTGGAGCTTATTGGGTCCACAAACTACAAATTTGAGTGACAAATTTTACCGGCCTGAGTTTGTTTTAACCACTGAATTTAAATGCTTATAAATTATGCATATCAAGATGTAAGATGGTGGTTGGAGGTAGTCGAAAGGTAACTCAAGATCAAGGTTTTGTGCTTTGTGGAACTCCTAAGCAAAGCACTGGCCATAGAGTGTCAAATAGCTCAAAATCTGGATCCAGGGCTTCTTGTTAGCCACTTTTAGTCTTCACTTTACATCCTAACGTAGTGCAAGCAATATCGAATCACCTACACAATGGCCGCACTGCAACATGATAGATAGGATTCAGTCTGCTTTAAAAAGCTCATAAAATAAGTCAAATTGGTTACCACCTAATTATCGATCAGTTAAAACTTGTTCGCACCGTTAGCTACCTCGTATAGCAGAACATAAGCAAAAAATACTAGTTCAGTAAAACGCAAAATGCTGAATCCTGATGATTGTAATCGGTAATCATGGGCACCGAGTAGCATAACAGAATTTGATGATAATAAACTTCTTCGTGGTTTTTTCCGTGAGGGAAGCGTTTAGTGTTAATCAAAGCTGAAACTTAATTTTAAAATCATCCATTGGTTCACTTGTTTATTTTTTATTCTGGAACTCTAACCCGGTAATTTTTGCTCCAAACTCTATCGCGTTATCCGCTTGGCTACTGAGTCAAAGTAGCCGCTAGCTTGTTCAATGAGATCCTGGATTCCACTGCTAAATACCATCATCTCTGCTTACAACGCTTGTAAATGAAGAAGTTATCGAAACAATCCGTACAGCATGCACATATGACAATAAGAGGCTAATCAATTCGCAGTCCTAAATACCAACTAAGAGATTCAATCAATCAATACAAAAGTGAACGTTTTGTTTTATTTCAATATATTGAGAATCCTAGGATAACATGTGTTGCATCGACTGCTTATGCATATCCTACCTGAAAAGCTTGTCTTATGTTCCTAGAAAGGAAATTGATTGAATTTATAGTTGTTTAACATCACAAAACTTGGTTTTTGACAACATCAAAGGAGGATATTTAATTTGTCCACCGGTTACCAGCGTTGTAATCGCAAGCAATAATAAACATTTAGGACAAAATTTTCTCATATGAAAACCTTTGTGTACTCTGCTTAACTTTATATCCAAATCAACAAGCGTTGGATATATCAAAACAAATAGCCTAAAAGTGTCAAAAATAACCTTTGTTCTGAGCTTAAATATGATTAAAAACGAGGTAGCTGACAAGACACTGGAAAATAATCAGTAGTTTACTACTAAAAAGCAATATAAACAGGAATATCAAAATTCTTGGACTTTGAACATATAGATAGACCTTCAACACTACAAACAACAGAGGAATTCGGTACCGTTTCTCTTTAGCTGTAATATATTTGTATTCAAGTAATAACTATTTTTGAGGAACTAAATGTTAATTGTGTACTCAAAAGTGACCAGCTTTAAGACGTTCTAGTGAGTAATCATGACCTGTTGAATTAGATTTGTGATGCGTAGGGTAGTATTTGTTTACTATTGACTAAGTTGACCAGAGTTTAAAATACGGACCGTTGAAGTGAACACAAATTCACTGGTTTTTCATCATGATTACAAATGAGATTTAAAACATATAGTTTGGTACGAGATCATTTACTACCTTGATCTCAGAACATATAAGCTTTTCAACAAACTATTCATCATAACGGATCTTTGGGTTTGAGGGTAGGGTAATATATACTATAATTCAGACCTATAAGCATATTTTTGTTTTGTTTTCAGATGTTGAAAAACACATCATTCATCCTCATGTGTACGTGAACAGAACATTATTGTAACCTATGCAGCATCAAGAAGCCTTAACTAAACATAAATCTTGTTACGAAAAGCTGAAAACAACACATAAATTTTAGATAGTGTTCATTACAACTGCGAAATGACTATGAACAGCAAACTAACTGCATCTAAGTACTACTTCGTTAACAAAGGTTAACATGAACAGTAATATATATATATATATATATATATATATATATATATATATAATAGTTTGAATGCTTTTTGATGACACGCTTAACGGTACGACTCTAACTAACCTGTTGATCGATCAATCTATAATTAATCCGACTGGTAAATTTAGGATTGTTACCAATAATGCTTGCTTACTCTGTTCTAGCGTGTTTACCATTCTTGAAAATTAAATAAAATGTCGTTTTATTTTTGTAAAATCTAGAACATGATCAGGCTTCTAATAATCTAACTGCTTTAAAATGGAATATCAAGAAAACTCAAGAAGAATACAGTAAAGTATTTAATAGGCTGAAATCGCTAGCTGCATCAAAAAAGTGTATTGAAAGTGAGATTTCACAACTGACAGGATGCACGTAAGCCGTTTTCACGAGTATTATCTCACTCTCCTATGAAAAGTTATTAAAACGTGAACTGATTTGTTAATAAATGGCTTCGTAATAAGATTAACAAAATAACCCTTAGGAAAAAATACAGGCTGGCTGGAAACCATGTTTGAATGTTTAATGACGTTGTCTTCCGACGTGGGCTCATATTTGGAAAAAATTACTTTGTACCTCGATCAAATTGGTCGTTATATTTTTCAAAATGGCTTGCAGAACAAACGTCACTGTCAAGATGTCTAAATTTACAGAAGTATTTAGGATACTTTCCTAAAGATTTGTTGCATTCCATGAGGCTTGGATCTTATTAAATAAGAAGGTATATGACTAACGTGCAGCTTATTGTCAAAGTCATGAACCACCTTAAGCCAAATAACCATTGTAAACCAGAAGTTTCTAGTACTTTTCGTTCCTGATGGAGACTATTCATCAGTGCTGATTCATTAATCTATCAGAGGCCGAACTCAGGGAATCAGCACATCATTTTGAGCACCTTGCTTTCAAACTACTGAAATAGTATCCCGCAGAATAAGTCGATAACACCAACCGACCTATGATTTTACGCGATCACCATCAACTGTTATCAGTATGATAAGTTTAAAGTCCGACCAATTATTTTCAACCATCTCGATTACTAAACACTGATCATACTTGATTAAAAATTAACGTTAATCGATATCGTTCACAAAGAAAAGATCGAAGTATTCTATTTGTAGTTCAATGCTGATATTAACTATTACTAGGCCTTAGCAAACTTACTACGCTGTTGTGTTTCTTAAGTAAAAATCTCAATTTACAAAGCTTTATTTCTAATTTTATCTTTATGAACAAAAAGATTTATGTACTGTAACTTTTAAGAGTATAATTGAAAAATTACCTTAAAACACAATCTACATTTTTTAAATGGAATGATGTTGCAATTTGGATATTGACCTCTAAATTTAACACTAGTAGTTAGATAGCAGTAGATTAAGACAAAAGAGAATTACTTACATTTTTTGGCTATTTAGTTTCTACCTACTAAAACACGGATGTCATAAATACTAAATTACAAGTATGAGATTAATAACTGATGAATTTTAAGAGGGTAATATGTAAAAATCCCCAAGTTCCGTTATTCTTGTCATTTATCAACGAAATTTGATTTTATAAAGGAATAACTGGATGATATATTCCCACATCAACCGATATACATTTGATTCCAAAAAATAGATTAGTTATACAAGTGGTGTTGGCATTCTAGGCGGAATAGATACCATCCTATCAGGTATCCCTGGAGTCGCGGCTTATCTGGATGACATTTTAATTGTAGCGACGACATTAGAACAGCTACGAGAACGCACGACATTGGTACTGCAACGCATCAGTGACAACGGGTTCCGGTTACGCCCAGAGAAATGTCAGTTTTATTTGCATTCGGTAAAGTACTTGGGGTTTGTTTTCGATGCCGATGGCCGCAGACCGGATCCTGAGAATATCCGAGCTATCAAACTGATGCCCACTCCGACTAATGTCGTGGCACTACCTTCCTTCCTGGGACTTGTCAGCTACTACTCAGCGTTCGTTCCATCGATGCATGATATTCGCGCTCCACTAAATAGCTTACTGCAGAAGAACAGCTCTTGGAACTGAACTAAACAGTGTGATGTGGCATTTTGTAAACTGAAGTCTATTATTTGTTCGGAATTGCTGTTGACACACTACGATCCAGCCATGCCGATTATCGTAGCTGCAGACGCTTCAGCGTATGGCCTAGGTGCTTTTATCTCACATGAGTTTCCGGATGCGTCGGAAAAAGCCGTTATGCATGCATCCCGCACACTAACTCCAGCAGAAAAAAAATACAGCCAGATAGAAAAGGAAGCTCTTGCGCTTGTGCTTGCTGTGCGCCGTTTCCACAAGTCCCTATATGGTCGGAGATTCACGCTTCTCACAGATCACAAGCCTTTACTGGCAATATTCGGGTCGAAATCTGGCATTCCAGCTCATTCTGCAAGTCGTCTTCAGAGATGGGCCTTAGCACTCTTGGGGTATGATTTCGAGATCCAATACCGACGCACTCAACAATTCGGTCAGGCGGATGCCTTATCACGACTCATTAGTGACCAGTTGGCGGCTGAGGAAGACACGGTAATCGCATCTCTTCTAGTGGAAGACCACGCTGAATGTTATCTGACGACCGCAATACGAGCTTTGCCGGTATCTGCAACCGACATACAAAATGCTTCTAAGAGCGACCCCATCATCAAGATGACTATGAGCTATGTCACCAACGGTTGGCCGTCTAAGAAGTTTGATGGTGACATGAAACAGCTGTATCACCGGCGGGATTCGTTAAGCATTTTAAACGATTGCTTGATGTTCGGAGAAAGAGTGGTTGTGCCAGAATCCCTCCGTGCAAAAGTGCTGAAACAGTTCCACCTTGGTCATCCGGGTGTTAGACGAATGAAATCCATAGCCAGGAGTCATGCATATTGGCCACTAACGAATCAACATATAACAGAATTGGTTGGAAAATGTATGCGATGTCAGCAAGCGGCAAAAGTGAACACCAAAGTTCCACCAGTTTCATGGCCGCAACCTGATCATCCTTGGTCCAGGATACACGTCGACTTTGCAGGCCCGATTAACGGAACCATGTATCTAGTTGTAGTCGACGCTCTTTCGAAATGGCCAGAAATCAACCCTATAATACCGCCAACGACGACTAAAACAATACAAATCCTCACAGAAATTTTCTCTCGAAATGGTATACCGGATACCATTGTATCTGACAACGGTTCACAGTTTACCTCCGGCCAATTCCAGTCATTTTGTCAACGGCTAGCCATAAAGCACTTACGGTCGCCACCATACCACCCGCAGTCGAACGGGCAAGCAGAAAGGTTTGTGGATACGTTTAAAAGAGCTTTGGCTAAGACAAAAGGGGAGGGGACGCCGGCGGACGCGTTGCAAAATTTCTTATACTTGTACCGAACAACACCAAATGAGGCGTTGCCGGAGCGAAAGTCCCCAGCACAGATCCTAATGGGAAGAAAATTGAGGACGATCCACAGTCTTATGTGCCCAAGAACCACACCACCTCAGACCAGATCTCAGAAGCTGCTAGCATACGAGGTTGCATGCCCGGTGTTCGCTCGAGACTACAGAGCAAACCATGATCCTTGGATCGATGCATGTGTGATTGGAAGATCAGGCTAAGTTATGTACGAGGTAAAGGTGGGAAGAGACATATGGACAAGACACAGAAACCAACTACGGAAGAGGATAACCCCTGACCGCCCATCAGCAGGAGCAAATCTTCCTCTTGACATCTTGCTTGATACCTTCAACGTACCAGCAGCCCCACCACGAGAAGAAGCACAACAAGAAGCTGATTTCCGTTCCAGAAGGTGGCCTCTACGACAACGGCGACCAACAGTCAGGCTTCAGGTCGACCCCAGGAAGGCACGCTATTAAAAAGGGGAGGTGATATGATGGGAAGAAAAATCAATATTTGATTGATTTACTTAATATGAGTTTTATTCATCATTACATCTTTTTTGATTTAATGTAATGATTACGCAATGTAATATTTCTTTTCTTTTCTCGTATGATATTTATTCTGTATAATATACAATATTCTTGTATTCCATTGACTATGAACTATACTCAGCATATGATTTGTTATAACTGTGAGTATTTTTCATGTATGTGATTTTATTCTAATTATTAATCAAAACGGGTGTACAGTCAATATATAAACGAGTATATTTTCTACTAAAGAGACGTCGCTCTTTTCTCTGGTTGCTGCAGAATACACTTCTCATTTCAAGCGTGGACTTCTCCATCTAGATAGCGGGGCTGGGGCGCAGCAATAGCTAGCTCACTGGTCATTGGTCATCGAATTTCGTTCTCGTTCGCAATCTAAGTGAACTCGTTAAGCTTCAAACATAACAGCTTCAAACTCTAAATGTCACATGACACTGGAAGACCACCTAGTAGGTGAAGGATACAAGTCTTTTATGCCTATTGTAAGTGATTTGTTTTGTTAAGGTCATCAATGATATATATATATATATATATATATATATATATATATATATATGGTTGGGTCAAATGCAAAGATATACAGTTGCATTAGTTCACCGTTGATAATACAAAGTCCTGAGAAATAGCATATGGATTGTGGTATATAAATGTATATAAATTCTTATTTTAGAAATCTGGTGAATGAAAAATCTTTAATTACAGAGGCAGAACTTAAGGGAATTATTGATCAAACAACTAAAGCAAGTTAACCTGTGTTAATCAAATTTTAATTTATTGAGTTTGTGTTACTTCATAAATATAACAAGAGCAATTTTAAGCAATAAATTACGTAAGCTTATATATATACTATTTTGTTGTTAAGGTTTATAAGTGTAGGCTACTATTTGAACAGCACTAAATACTTGCTTAGAGATAAATTATGAGAAAACTGAAGTTCTTTCCAAGCATTTTATTTCTTACTTAATATTATTAAACATAAATTTGATAAGTTAATTTTTACGATAAACACTTTTTATCCAACAACAAAAAATATTGTACGATGAAGTGAATTTATTTCGTCTTGTTTGCTCTAAATCACCCACGTACACACTTATCTCCATTACTGAATGAAGTGTTTTTAAATGTAATATGTAAGTAAGATCCGTAAATTAATTTAGCAAATTAATAATAATGATAGTCGAGGCACGTATGCAATGACTTTGACAACTAAATTGACTTACGGGTTCAAACGTTTGATTGAACAGTGTTAAAAATAACTAGACAAATGATAATAAATTTACTGTATATTAGAGATTAAAAATTTTGAATGACACTATAATTTTCTACCTTTTACTAGTTTACATCTAGTCACTGTGACGTTTTCGGCATTTTAACATGCTTGTTATATTTGTAAAAGTTATAGGTAACATCTAACCTGAAGACAAATTGTATACTGTGGATGTGTGCAGATCAGCGTGTCCGTGAGAGTCTGTAAGAAAGAAACAGGATAAAATATGGTCCGATAACTCTGTAAGCATGTATAATCGACTTTTAATAATGAAAGCAATTAAGCATTACGAAATCGAGACCACATGATAAACCAAACTATAATATTACGGTGTGATTTTTTGAATTACAAAATGAACAATAAAGATGTTATTACAATTAAATAGAATGTGGCATGAGGAATGAATTATGTTTAAAGAGTTATAAGTTAAATAAGCGAAAGTTGATATAAATCTTAAACATTATTCGGAGGGGGGGTAGGATAGCAATAAATCGATCACCATGGTAATACCATTAGATTATTAAACTATTATTGTTATTTTTTTATTGAGATCATGAACCGATTGATGTTAGACCACCATTAAAAACCTGGAAGCACTGGACAGCCATTTTATTCTATTGTGGGACTCCTCAGCAGTGTGCATCCACAATCCCGCTCGCAGGATTCGAACCCATGGCCTTCAGTCTTGCGCGCGAACGCTTAAGCTACTGGACCACTGAGCCGGAATCCAAATGTACTAATGTCTAACCTCAACCAATCCACGAAGTTGCACGACCATCTTTCATTGTATTGAGGTAGATACCTGTCTCTACTCTACACGGATTAGCTCCACCGATCACGGCTTCGCACCTGAACTCCGAGAATTTTCTCACGAAGCTATTCACTAGTAAGCACATGGTTCATGATCTCAATCAAAAACTTAACAATCTCCACAACCCCTATACTGATATTATTGTTATTATTTTAATAGTAGTAGTAATTTAAATGTTTGTGTCCAGTTTGTATCCTTACGCTGAGAATTGGTTTTAGTTAAACAATCACCGAAAATCAGAAAGCACTGAACAGCTGTTTTTTCTTAGAACTGGTGCAGGATTTTGTCAACGATTGGTCCTCATGATATTCAAAAACCAACAAGTTGGGATCCAATAGTACAGATTTAAAACTTTAACCTGTTATTTTATTTTTCCTCATAGATTTTGTAGATGTCATTGATCCGGATTTAATTTTTTTATTTATTAATGAATTTAAGGCATTAGAAACACTTGCAAAAGCGAATACTAAGTTAAATGAAACACAAATACATTATAATGCTGTGAAACAAAAATCTGAAGAGATTCGAGTAAATTTAGCTAACGATGTTCGCAAAGCTGAACAAAATTTAACTAATGCTCAGTAAGTTATGTATTATACTTTTTGGTGTTAGGCTAATTTGATACAAAAGGTTCCTACTATTTGGTATAAGGAATGTAATTGATATAATACCTCCTAGACTATAAAGGTAACCTATTTGTGCACCCACCAATTCATATACTACTGTGAAACTGATGATATAAATCCCAAAAACTGTTTTTTTCAAACCGATTTCTAAAAATTAATGTACCCACTTATCTAGACAATAATTAACAAGTACTTTCTCTGTTTAAAAGTGTAGTTTGGTCATGCTATCTCATCAGAATCATAAACGATATCTTGATATCCTATTTTTGCATTGCAAGTTTTCTTCTTTATTTACTATTTAATGAGTTCGAACCGTGTGAAAGTGTACACTTTCCTCGTCAGTTAAATTTGTCACTCTATTGTCGTTCAATTTCGTTCTGTTTAAAAGATGATAATGTACTATTGCCTCACTCACTCATTTTCTCATGACCTAAAATCATCTAATTATTAGTAATAGTTTAATTCGTCCAAATAAACATAAAAGTATAACTTTGGAAAGTAGTGTCACTAAAAAGTGAATCTTACTTTCATGAATTATGCTTAACTTATGCATTATTAATCTTACACATTTTTCTTGGATTATTGGACAGACCCCCTGAAGATCAAATAATATCTGTTTTAATCGTCGTATTGTGTATGTTCTTATTGTTTGTGGTGAATATTTTGAGGCTTAATGTTAAGAAGATAAGTGAATACAATCTAGAACGATGGAGAGCAACAGGTCACAATATATTAATTCTTGAGATCTTTAAGGATGGTGATCCAGTTATAGCTATTAGATTAAGTGAGATATTAGCTAGAGTTTGGGAAATAAACTTAATTCTATTTTGCTAAACTTGATTTTGATTTATGTATTTAGATATGATGATAAAACTTCCTCTATTTCTAAATTCTTTGAATTAGCGTTCGCTGATTTATAGATCTACAGAACTGTTTAGGTTTCTGTACATTTAAAACTTGGTCTTTGAAATAACGGCATAATTTTTGGTACCAATAAATCATAAAAAAAACCATAAATAATCTTTAACTGGGAAATACTAATTACAGAATTCAGTTGACTATTTGAAAAATATTCTACTAAAATTCCATGTAGTAGTTAATATTTTTAACTTCGTATGAGTTTATCATTAATAGTATTTATATGAAATGATAAGATATTGGTAATCAAACGTGCACAGGTAATTGAATTGATACAGATCATCAATTCCAAAACAAATGTACTAATAACAATAGCTATCTATTAATTATATACATTCAAAACCCATTACACAAATGTATGGTTATTTAAACTTATTAGCTCAGGTATATATTTGAAGCGAAATGCAACGGTTTTCCAGTATCGGTTACAACATCTATACGTGAATGCAAGTATTTTCAGTTGAAAAGCCCTCAACAGAGGGAAAAATACACATGACCTTTACTTTCCATTACTAATCACGAATCCATCTACTCTATAAATTACTAACTTTATATACATTTATTTAGTTAAAATATTTAGAGAATTTTTCAATTAGATTAATGTATATTTTCAATAATTTTTTTATTATTTCAGGTAATTAAACTTTCAGCGTTTCAATTCCCTTACTTTTTTTATTGACAATATCATTCACATCAGAAGGGGATTTTGTGGATATTACAGTAATGTTTTTAATAGTTGAGATCATGAGTCAATTGAAGCTAGACCATCATAGAAAACATGGAAGCACTGAACAGCCCTTTTGTCCTAACGTGGGACTTCTTAGTAGTGTGCATCAAAGTTCCCATCCCCCACGAGATTCGAACCTAGGAACTATCAGCCACGAGCACAAGCGCTTAACCACTAGACCATTGAACCAGCCAGTATTCAACGGTGTTAATGTCTAACTTCAACTAATCTATGAAATCGAGCGACACATCCACGATTGTCTTCAATGAGTTATTATCTCATAACAGAATTGGTTAAACTCCCCTGATCATTGCTTCTCACTAGAACTCCAAGAAAATCTATCTTGAAGTCATTCACTAATGAGCATATATTGATTAATATTATAGTAATTACTTTTTTTTGTTAATAGTTGAGATCATGAGTTAATTGAAGCTAAATCACTATGGAAAACCTGAAAGTACTAGATAGCTATTTAATTTAATGTATTTTATTTTTCATTATTGATCATAGTTAATTTTTCTTTTTCTCTTTCTCTCTCTCACTTTCTCTCTTTTCATTTAATAGAAATAAATTAAAAGAAGCTATAGATATTGAACCAATACTTATACAAGAAACAATAAATATGAAAAATAAAATTGAATCATTAAAATTACAAATTCAATTATTAACTGAAACATTAAAACAAAATCAATATATTATGAATGAATTAAAACAACAATTAATTGAATTAGAAAAAACTTCTATAAATAAACAATATCTAATAGATAATTTATTAATATGGATTAAAAATAATGAAGAAAATTTAATTAATCAATTTAATGGTAAATTAAATAATGATTATAATATATTAAATCAATTATTCAATGAAAAATCAGAAGTTTTTTATAAAATTAAAATGAATGAAACACAATTAAAATTTGATAATGATCATTATGAAAAACATATATTAGATTAGTAAGTATTATTACCAACATTTGGTTTGATTATATTGATTCAATTAAGTATTGAGTTAATTACGCAAAGATGGATAGTGGCTTATAAAAGCTTGTGAACTAAGGCAATATCGAGGCATACGCACAGTATGCATATATGCCAATAACAGAATGATCAATTGCAGTCCTTAACAATACCATTTGTATTTAAATCCACCCTACTGCACAAGCCAGTGGCTATCAGGACTCAGTATCTGAGTGGGTAAGACAATGACGTTTGAAGCGAATGGTACTGGGTTCGAGTTCCAGAGTGAACATCAACTCTGAGATGCAGTTACATCCAGCTGACGAGTCCCAAATAGGATGAAACGCGCGTCCTAGATTCTACTGCTAGTCACTATCCATCTTTGCTTATAAAAGCTTATGATTTAAGACAATATCGAGGCATACGCACAGTATGCACATACGCCAATAAGAGACTGATCAATTGCAGTCTTAAAAACTCAATGGGAAGATACAAGCAAAACAATGCCAAATGAATTGAGTTAATTGTTATAAATAATAATAATATATTTGTAATATCCGAACGAGTAGAAAAATCAAATTTTCTGACGTTTCGTCGGAAAAACGCTGATCACTTATACTCGGATCGAGGGACCTCTGCAATTCCCACGACGCGAAAGTAAGAACACATAGAATGGGATAAGTGAAGATTTATTAGCCCCAAAACACTATGACAACAACGACGACCTTAGTCTAAAATACACTCATTTATATATTGATTGTACACCCATTTTGATTAATAATTCGGATGAAATCACATAAATAACAAATCACATATTGAGTTTAGTTGATGTCGATTGAATAGAAGAATATCGTATATGATACAGAATGAAATATCATACGAGAAAACAAAACCGAATACTACTCTAAATGATCATCACATTGAATCAGAACGGAAGTAATTTTGAACAAAACTCATAATTAGTAAATCAATCGAAAATAGGCTTTACTTCCCATTATATTGTAGTGAACAGAACACCAGGGGGGAACAATCGAATGTAATAGACAGGAATTTACAGAACTTGTTAATAAAATCTAACAACCAAATAGTAAAGGCTCAATTTGCAAAATGACCATCACTTGTCTCAAAATGACTCAGACTTCATTATCCTTACATTTTCATACAAACTGCATTCTGTTTTCGTTCTTTATTGTCCGATCCTCCAGTCTCTATGCTGCCAGAAATTCTGTTCCTGACTAACGTCATATAGTACTTATGTCAATGTAATAATATCGGCAATTTCTTTAAAGAATAAATAACAGATAATATCAAATATTAATAAGAGATAAATAATAGACAATATTCTTGTTAATCCGTTGTACTGTTTTGTTATAACTTGTGACCTGTGTGCTCTGTTAATGAACAACGTAACGATACCGCCAATCAGGGAGCAATGGCTTATCGATCGAATCAATGATGTGTAAAACACGTACGAGCAACCTAGAGTCCTGATTGGTCCTGATTCCCGCCTAGCCCAGCCAGTCCAGTTCAGAACACCAATTTCAGCCTCTGCATTATGAATCATGTATTTCAAGCATACTCGGTTTATATACCAATCAAACAGACCACAACGTACCATAAAATAGAAACTAATATTTGTACAAGATTTGGCCAAATGTGGCTGTGAATGTGGGAGGCAGTGACTAATAGATAGGGCATAATTCAAGAATGGTAAATCGTATAATAATGGTTCATAGGTTAAGATAAAGCTTGTGATAAGAGGAATATGAATATGGATAGTTTAGTTATTTAACAATTATACAATAAAAATATACGTATAGTATTGGTTCATAAATGGATCCCGAAGTTACCATTCATTATGCTTATCGGGACCTAACATACTTAAACTTGGATTAATTTCGATTTCGTCATTTATTCTCTAGAGAAGTGGCTTATACTGAGTGACGAAACGTCAAACAATCTAATTTTTCTACTTATTAGGATATTACATTTATATTATTTCTATTGATTAGATTAGTAAATTTAATATTCAATTTTTAAAAAAAATTTTATTTCGTATTTAGTTGTTTATGATTTATTTTCATTACTTGTCTATCTATTGTCTCTGATTTTTTTCAAATCATAGAACAATGAAAGGATGTTTAATTTTAATTTTGAACCGAAATACAGAATATTTTTATTTCACATTGGATAAAGCATTAAATCTTTAGATATCAAAGGTTTTAAGATAAATTAAGATTATTGAATCATAATTCAATGTATATAGTTGTTGGTTCCGAGGTTCTGGGCTTCAAGAAGCATCATCATAAGGAATGGATCTCTATAGAAACACTGGACAGAATCAAAGAAAGGAAGAACAAGAAGACAGCAATTAACAACAGCCGCACACGAGCAGAGAAAGTCCAAGCACAAGCTCAGTACATAGAAGCAAACAAGCAAGTGAAGAAGAGCATTAGAGCCGACAAGCAGAAATAAGTGGAGGAACTAGCAACGACGGCGGAGAAAGCTGCAAGAGAAGGAAATATGAGACAGCTTTACGATACAACGAAGAAACTAGCAGGGAAATATAGTAAACCAGAGAGACCGGTCAAAGACAAAGAAGGCAGGCCAATCACTGAAATTCAACAAGAGCGGAACAGATGGGCAGAGTACTTCGAGGAACTCCTGAATAGGCTGGCCTCAATGAATCCACCGGACGTCGAAGCAGCACACACATATCTCCCTATAGATGTCAATCCACCAACGACGGAAGAAATCAGAATGACCATCAGACAAATCAAGAGCGGGAAAGCAGCAGGACCCGACAATATACCAGCTGAAGCACTGAAGTCAGACATCAAAGTAACTACAAGCATGCTTCATTTTCTATTCAAGAAGATTTGGGAGGAGGAACAAATGCCGATGGACTGGAAAGAAGGACACCGCACCAAGATTTCAAGGAAAGGAGATCTGAGCAAGTGTAAAAACTACAGAGGCATCACACTACTGTCCGTACCAGGGAAAGTCGTTAACAGGGTGTTGCTGAACCGGATGAAAGATGCAGTAGAGGCCCAACTTCGAGATCAACAAGCTGGATTCCGTAAGGATCGGTCGTGCACAGACCAAATTGCAACACTACGGATCATCGTCGAACAACCAATTGAGTGGAACTCGTCACTGTACATCAAATTCATTGATTATGAAAAGGCATTTGACAGTGTAGATAGTAGAACGTTATGGAAACTTCTTCAACACTACGGAGTTTCTGAGAAGGCTGTCAACATTATCCGGAACTCATACGACGGTCTGAAGTGCAAAGTAGTGCATGGAGGACAGCTGACTGATGCATTCCAAGTAAGGACCGGAGTCAGACAAGGCTGTTTGCTCTCTCCCTTCCTCTTTCTTCTGGTGGTAGACTGGATTGTGAAGACCTCGACATCTGAGGGAAAGCATGGAATACGATGGATAGTTCAGAACCAATTAGATGATTTGAACTTTGCAGACAACCTAGCCCTCCTATCGCATACACACGAACAAATGCAGATAAAAACAGCCAACGTAGCAGCAGTCTCTGCATCAGTAGGCTTCAACATATACAAGGGGAAAACCAAGGTCCCCAAATACAACACTGAGAACAGCAATCCAATCACTCTTGATGGCGAAACTCTGGAAGATGTGGAATCCTTCACATACCTGGGAAGCATCATCGATAAACAAGGAGGTTCAGATGCAGACGTGAAGGCGAGGATTAACAAAGCAAGGGCCGCATTCCTCCAGTTAAGGAACATATGGAATTCAAAACAACTTTCAACTACAACAACCACCATCAAGAAGGTACAAGTATTTACAAATAGCTGTCTACGCAAGATACTCAACATCCATTGGCCGGATACCATCAGCAACAGCCTTTTGTGGGAGAGAACCAACCAGCTTCCAGCTAAAGAGGAAATTAGGAAAACACGATGGGAATGGATAGGACATACATTACACAAATCATCAAACTGCATCACGAGGCAACCCCTAACTTGGAATCCTGAAGGGAAGTGGAAAAGTGGAAGGCCGAAGAACACATTACGTCGGGAAATAGAATTAGATATGAAAAGGATGAATAACAACTGGAAAGATCTGGAAAGGATTGCTCAGAACAGGGTTGGATGGAGAAGGCTGGTGAGCGGCCTATGCTCCTTCACGAGGAGCAACAGGAGTAAGTAAGTAAGTTGTTGATTCCAGTTAGTTTATTCATTGTTATTGACAGATTGTTGTCTTGCTTAGTATATTTGAAACTTGATAAGTAATATGGTTGTAGATGGATATCTAAAGTTTTGCAAACTCATGGCAGGTGTTTTCACATACTAACCATCTCCGTTATTCATATCTTTCTCCTTGTATATCTTGTGGTAGAACGAGACGTAATTACATTAAAATTCATGCACGCAAGCAAAAGTATCAAAGTTCTATAATACCTTATCTAGCAAATATACTCTTTGACGAACAGGTTGTTAAAGTTAATCTAGTCAATAACCTGTATTCTTAAACATGTCTCTAATTTGGAAAGTTGTACAGATTTGGATTTTTTCTCACCATTTTATTTTTTTGTTGTCTTTGTAAAAGAAACTTGTTGAAATACTTCGTGCTGAGAATTCTACATTTTACCAAAATATAATATTGAATATAGCCATCAACAATAACAATAATGGCTCGTCAGCTGGATGTACCTGCATCTCAGAGTTGATGTTCACTCTAGACCTCGAACCCAGCACCATTCGCCTCAAACGCCATCGCGTTATCCACTTAGCTACTAAGTCCTGATAGTCACTGAGTATTATTTACTTGAATCTTCCCATTGATATTTAGGACTGTAATTGATCAGTCTCAGGCAATATCGAGGCAATATGCACAGTATGCACATTTGCCAATACGAGACTGATCAATTGCAGTCCTAGACATCAATGGGAAGTTTCAAGTAAATAATACCATGTGAATTTAATAGTAATAATAATATTAATAACAATATTATTATTATTATTATTATTATTATTATTATTATTATGATATTGACTTTTCATGGATTTCATAAAGTTTAATTAGTTTATTCATGTTACTAGTTGTTGTATATCTACTTTGATTTATTACAGACATTCAAAAAATTATACAAATCTCTTGAGATTGAACAAATAAATTCAAAGAATATTTTTAGGTACATTCTAATCAAATAATGATTTATAATATTTTTATTATTGGGCATTTTAAAGTTAGTTTAAAAGATATAAAGAATGATACTGAGTTCTAACCTATAAGTGTACTAAAACTTTTTAAGAGTTGACCGTTTTACTTTGATATCAGGGTTAATTGGTTGAATAGTTATTCAAAGTAATGATGAAGCATTAAACTTATTTTTGTACTTACTGTAATTTATCAATATGATGTACTCCAAGTCTTGGGAAGATAAACACTCCCAAACTGATTTTATATTACATTTAAATATGTTATTGAGACTTTATTTTCGTTATTTTCAACACTCGAACAACAAATTAACCGTGATTCTGTATTAAACATACTCAGTTTTCAGGGTAGTCGATAGGATTTATTCAGCTACCAAGAGTAACTAACTTTAACATAATTTATCATACGACTATCCATTGATGTAGGTTAATTTCTTCAATCCTATCATTGTCATATAAATGATATCTCCATAAAATTTCACGAATGATAATTTCTTAACTCAGTTGGTTGGTAGATATTTTTCTATAAGACTAAAAAGTATTTGACATTTTAGATTTCCGTGTTCAAAATTTGTTTGACTAGTGAGTTTATAGAAAAGAAATTTGTAATTCGTGAATGAAGTTAAAAAGCCTTAATACGGCTTAACTTCTGTCTGTAAATAAGCTCTCTGCATTACTGTAGCCCATCAATACAACAAATTCATGCATGTTCAAGATAACCTTTATTTTTTACAAAGTAATTTTATTTAATAAGAAAGGATACTCCAATCAAGTTTTCACTATGGGTTATTCTAGCTGTCGTCTAAGCATGGGTCACATATGGTATAACAATCTATTGAGCAGTACTGAGATAAGACACAGGGTGACAGTAAACCTATTGATAAAACTATGAAGTTACATCAACTGAGGTAGCTGAAATATGTATTACATATGCCTAAACACCACATGAGTTGACATGTAAATCTGAGTAATATTGGAGTAGTTTCAAAGGAATCCGGGGGCTACCAAAACCAAAACCTGGCACCAGGTCATCAAGCATCAGGGTTATATTCATAGGTGAAGACTACCTTGATAGAAGCGCATGATTAAATGTTAGGGAAATTAAATAACATAGATTTAAACCAGCCACACTTGCGAAGGCTCATTTACTCCTTATCTACACCTAGATCTTTGGGTTTAATATTATTTTGTGTTTTTCATCCCCTCATTTATTCTTTCTCATCAAACTATATTTCTTTTTTAGTTCATTTCTATTATCACTGAAACTACTATTACTTCACCGACTGCGATATCCATAGCGACAATTTAATCTGGATTTGTTAATGTAGTAATTACAACTCATACTGATTTATAATCATATCAGATTGCTATATTGCTCTTCATTTAATGGCTGATTGAAATTTCATCTGAACTAAGGACAGGAAGTGAAGTAGTCGAACGCGTTGACAACTTCACTTATCTTGGAAGACTGATCAGCCCTAATGGGTTGGTGTCTGACGAAATCTCAGCACGGATTCGAAAAGCTCGTTTGGCTTTCGCCAACTTACGTCATCTATGGCGAAGGCGAGATATCCGTCTATCAATAAAAGGACGAGTATACTGCGAGACAGTTCGTTTCGTTCTACTATACAGCTGCGAAACATGGCCTTTAAGAGTAGAAGATACTCGTAAGTTACTAGTATTTGACCACAGGTGCCTTAGAAATATTACTCGCATCTGCTGGAATAATCGGGTAAGTAATAGTGAGGTTAGACTCAGGGTATAAGGGAATGATGGTTAATCAGTTGATGAGTTTATGGATCTTCATCGACTGAGATGGTTGGGCCACGTGCTGCGTATGCCTGAACACCGATTACCACAACGCGCAATGGTAACCGGTGTTAGGGATGACTGGAAGAAAGTTAGGGGCGGCCAAACCAAAACGTGGCATCAGTGCTTGAAGTCACTAACTTCTGATCTGAGCCATGTTGGCAGATGCAGACTACTTGGTTGGGGTTCGCGTGACTATCGTAACCAATGGTTGGAGACTCTTGGTGACATGGCTCAGAATCGATCACAATGGCGTTGGTGTATATACTCTCTGTCTTCCCTTAATCTGTGAGATTAAAATCGCTTCATATCTGTCTAGGAACTAATTCTTTCTTCCTGTACTATCTCCTTATATGCAATCTTTCTTCTATATATTACCACCACTGAATTAACTACTCCTATGGATCCGGTGTTCATCTTGTTGTGCTAATGCGGTATGGCAACTTGGACTGATGTATATATGTGCCTGGTCCTACTTTGTAGCTGACTGACTGACTGATTGAACAATGAAATTTCATAAATTGTAACTTAAACATCTATTTGCCTATTGATTTGTGTATATATTACTGCTTTGTTTTTGATTAATAACTTGTAGAATCAGCTTATTTTGTATTTGATTTTAATGTCATTCTTCTTGTTTTTATTTTCATATCTACAATATAATAATTATCAACATATTAGTCAAAATGAAATAGTTAAATTAAGAAAATCTATTGAATTACTTGAATCACGTTTACTTACTGCACAAGATTTATTACAAGTTTCAAATACTGATTATAATCGTATACAATTAAAACATTCATCAGTTAAAGATGATTTAGAATTAACTAAATCTCGAACAAGAACAGAACAAGATGAGAAACAAAATATGTTAAAATATTTACAACATAAAATAAAAGAGGTTAGTAATTTATTACTGATATAAGTTTCAAAAAGAGTAGTATATATTGATTTATTTCATGAGTAATTTTTTTTTGGAACCGTAGGTAAGAATGAGTTGTGATAAGTTTATCTAAACTGAATAAACTTTTTAAAAGATATACACTTTACTCTTCGACAGATATTCGATTAATTTAAATTATTGAACAGATATTGTAGGAAGTAATTTCCTATAGGTGTAACTCTAAGCTATTCTCTAGACTGTCGAGCACAGAGTCTTGGTTTAGCCAAAGTCAGAACAAGTAGTCTATTTGGCTTGATAAACTTTATCTGTTTCTAAAAAGGCCTGGTAAGAACTTTCAGTATAAATAGAATAAGATGTGCTTATCTAAACAATATTATTTACAGTGATTCATTCTAGCTGTGAAGTAAACATATGTTTCCTATGAGCTGCAAAACTTAAATAAGAACAGAACTGGTGTTATAGATTCCACTGCTAGTTACACTTCAAATATATGAATAAAGCATTCGAGGCCCAATATCATTATTATGACATTTTCTCATTTTTGCTAGGACTTCTAATATACTGTAAATAATAATGAGAACTTGAATATTTATAGTATGATATCAAGTCCTATATAGCTCATATCAGTTACTTACTTTATACTTAGCAGAAAAGCTTTAATTTCAATTAGAAACTAATTAACAATGTATATTAAACATGTTTAATGAAACTGCATATCAATGTTGGGCAGGTATAATTATTTGCTAATGTTTTCCGATACAGATGAATCAATAAATGTAACAATTTATTTGTTTGTTTAGATTAAATTCTGAAAAAAATATATTTACTTGTAGATCTCTTACTTTGCATTACGATCAAACTAATTATTAAGTTCATATAAACATGTTTAGACGCGCGGCTGATGTTTTCATTTTCCTTGTTCATCAAAGATTTCAGTTATTTGAACAGTACAATTCTAATCATTGTTGAATTATAATTTATTTTTATGGTTTATCATATTAATAATCTCATTATCATTCCAGTCACATGACGGATGATATTAGGAGAGAGTTAAATAGAATCTATGAGCTCATTCTAGATGCCTCACTCGTGCATGTATTTATTGTTAAGTTGTTATAACTTGTGACCTGTGTGCCCTGTTAATGGATAAGTAATGATACCGTCAATCAGAGGGCAGTGACTTGTCGATCGAATCAACGGTGAGTAAAACACGTACGAGCAACCTAGAGTCCTGATTGGTCCTTGATAAGTCTTGGGATTTGAACGCTTATTCGTTCCCTAAGCTATTCTTGAAACCCCAAGCTAGAATTATGCAGCGACCTGAACACGAGAGAGAAGGCGCAAAGTATGCAAAAAGTACCTTACTCCAAGCTTCATTTTTGTACAGAAAAACACTGGTATTTATAGATGTCAACATGTGTTAAATCAACATCATATTTTGGCCAATCCGCTAAAAGACTTATTCTACTGACCAATAGTAGCACGATACGTTAGTATTCTAGAAAGCTCCATCATGCTCTGATTGGCTAAGACTTCGGCTCCTTCACGACCTCTGGAGGCTCCGTTGCAGTTCTTGGAAAGCCGACTCAACAGTCCAGCTTACCACCTAGCCCAGTCAGTCCAGTTCAGAACACCAATCTCAGCCTCTGCATTATGAATCATGTATTTCAAGCATACTCGGTTTATATACCAATCAAACAGACCACAACGTACCATAAAATAGAAACTAATATTTGTACAAGATTTGGCCAAATGTGGCTGTGAATGTGGGAGGCAGTGACTAATAGATAGGGCATAATTCAAGAATGGTAAATCGTATAATAATGGTTCATAGGTTAAGATAAAGCTTGTGATAAGAGGAATATGAATATGGATAGTTTAGTTATTTAACAATTATACAATAAAAATATACGTATAGTATTGGTTCATAAATGGATCCCGAAGTTACCATTCATTATGCTTATCGGGACCTAACACAAGTCATCGAGAAGATTCACCAAATTTATAAAAGCATTATCATTAAATGAATATATAGATCTGGTCAACAAGGTGGTTAGCATTTTATTGCTCACACGATATTAACTTTTAAAGATAAATAGGATAATAATGATCATGTTGTTTTGAAAGATATAGGAAATGTGTTATCGTTGTTTGCTCATGGATTATTCTTTCAACATGACTGAAGCTATTTCATATTACTTTAAAATGAATTTAAAATACTACTAACAAGTTTAAATGTGGTTTTTAAATTTTCCTCTCATGAATAAAATAAGATTTAAAAAACAACTTTCATAATTCGATTTGTAAAACATATCAGATAATGGGCTGACAATAAATAAGTTTGAAAAATTCCATCTATTATTCAAAATAAAAATTTTTGATGAACTAAAATTATTTATCAGTATAAGGTTGTGGAGTTTGTTGAGATCAATGTTAAACCATCATTGGAAACATGGAAGCACTGGACGATCATTCTGTCCCAATGTGTGATTGGCTGAAATTAGACATTAAAACCATTAGATGCTGGCTCAGTGGTCTAAGAGTTAGGCGTTCGTACGCGAGACTGAAGGTCCTAGGTTCGGGTCCAATGTGCAGGGTCGTAGATATACACTTCCGAGGAGTTCAACACAAGGACGAAGTGGTTGTCCAGTTCTCCCAGGTTTTCAACAGTAATCTAACATTGATCGATCCATGACTTCAACTAGAATTATTTAAAAGCTTTGATGAGTCAATCATAAACTGTAACGTGAATTTCAGAGTTACATTTATAACGTCTGGCTCTCCAGTTAAACAGGATTGAGCTGTAGTGTTTGAGTTGTCACGTGAAAGTCTGGGTAGTGTCCGGTTCTCCTGAAAACCAATGTAAAATTATCCTGACCCACAAGGGTATATTATATATCTATAACGGTTTTACTTGAAAATCATGTGATCGATATTATGTACGCGACTTCAATGAATAATTGCGTAGTCAGGATTAATGAAGTGCACAGTATAATATTCATCTTCTTTAATATTAGGTGGATAAAAATACCTGCATCCACGTTACGGTGTTTATTGTCAGCCAAATATATAGCGTTTGTATAATCACTCTTCATTTCAGTACAAGTATCAAATGAGTTTTCACCTATTTATATCATATCTTTGATCCATATACAAAATATTATACTTGTATACAAATATATATATATATATATATATATATATATATATACCTTTTGCTGTAATTTAAAATAAGTCTTCTTACTTTAATTTAACAAATTCGCTAAGTGTATTTCATTTTTATCAAAGTACAATAAATAATACATTAAACAAAATTATCTACTTTACTGTGTTACTTAGAATGTATTCCATAGCTTCTAAAATAACTAGAAATAAATGTATGTAAACAACGCTGAAACTAGGATACCTTAGTGAGTATGTTGGGTTATTCAGAAAAATACCCCAAAAATTATCCTGTTAATTCTAACGCTATCCTTGAACGTGAAATGGTGTCATTTTCCTACTGGCCAATTTATATTTCACGTGTCATTTTCCTATTGGTCAATATTCACGGTCCTCCTAACTGCATAAATATGCATTTGTTTGTAAAGTATTATTATTCATCTGCTGACCCCACGAACAATTTTCATCTAACGGTTCATGTTCTGATATATTGGAGATTGGGGAACAGCACTGGGGTCGTAGTGAGATATCTGCAGTTGGTCAATCGGTAGGATTTAGAGTAGCCACTCCGCGGTCCACAATAGAGTATCACTATTATAGTACAGTATTTGTTGATATTCGTGTTTCCCAGTTTATAGCTGAATATTCAAGAAATATTGATATTATTATTTCTAGATTGTAAATGGTTTTTACTATTCAGATACAATAACTTAAACTCATGAATAAACATATATGATTACTTCTATATTAACTATCTGATAATCGTCATTTAATCATTGGTCAAAAGTCAGAAAAACTAAGAAATGATCACTGAGTGTTATGTTCAAATCGATATATCTTGTTTGATTTTTAGAATTCATTACGCTTTAATAGATATGAATTCTTGAATCAATATTCCATACTCATTGGTGATTAAGTAATAATCTTAACAATAAACTCCTATTACATAACGTTTTTAATTCTAGTCATCTGAAACTGAATACAGTTGAAAAATTACACTATTCAGGAAAACAGTTTATACATAAGTCCTAACTTTTAGATAATCAAATTATTTTTGGTAAATTTTAATTACATTTCTCTTGTTAATTAATCTTAATTAATATACTCTAATAGTTGAATATATGTTATATCATTTATTTGAAACAACAGGAATGTGAAATCAAATCTAAACTGATGATAGATTTAGAAAATAATCTTATAGAATTCGAAAGAATTAAACAAGATGGTTATCAAAAACGTTTAGAATTAGAAGCAACAGTTAAACAATTAGAAAATAGTTTTGAAAATGTTAAATCAGAATTAGAAGCTATTCAATTGAATTATAATTATTATTTAGAACAATTGAATATTATACAAAATGAATATAAACAAGTAAATGATTCTTTTATTTATTTTTTAAAGTTTATACATAATACAGAAATTGATATTGAAGATGCCACAGGTATTCGGAGTTTTACAACGCTTTAACCAATAACACCTAATATGAATTGTACCCACCAAGTGAAATCAAAAGACAGAAGCAAGAAGGTTCGAAGATATATTTGATAGGCTATCAATATATTGAGGGTTGTCTAATCTAATCTGGCTAACGATTGCAAGGGTTGTTGAGCACGGCATTCCCACTTGTGAACTGGTGAGATGCATGACCGAGAGCCTTCAGCTAGATGAGTCCATTAAAACTAATGTGGTCAGCATTCAATGTCGAAAACTTACAGAGCTATTTATTTTGGGGATTTATTTACCGCTACAATATATTACTATTATTGTATACATTAATGGAAATTAAACTCGATTTACTCAAATATTCTCAAACATAGAGCAGGTAATATAAAGGAAACTAATGAAATATATAGAATACCGTTAAGTAAAGATGAGAATAATAAGACGATTTTAAATATTGGGTGAACTCTGAACAGGTTTATCTATTCATGGATTTTTTTTCAATCTACTCTCAGGTTAGCCATTGTTTCATGTTGATTTGAAGGGATGCTTGGAAATGTATCATATGTGCTCTAACCATATCACCTGATAAAGTTTTACATTTTCATCAACTGATGAATCATATTTATCTAGTACCATACTCCTAACTTCATCATTAGTCGCTTGATGATACGCGATTAATGGTTAGAAAAAACCTGTCATTTAATACTAAGGATCTGTTTTTCTATACCAATTATACCAATATTTCCGGTTGTATCAGTGTGTCAAGTGCAATGTTAGACTATACTAAGCATTTCATCTATATACGGTTTATGTATTTTCTAAGTCCAACTCATGTCTGCAACTATTTCAATAGATTAATGTGGAGTAAGATCGATTGTAACATTTTAATCCTACTTTTTATGTAGGCAAACAAAGTTTCAGAAACGTAACCATCCTGTACACTTTAGTGTCTTTTGTGTATCATTTATTGCCTAATGTTATTGGGTCTTTAGTTTGGTGTAGTATGAAGAACATTAATTATATAAATATTCGAGACATTGTAAATGAATTTAATAATCTATTTACTATCTCTAAGACGTTCTTCCTATATGAAGTGACTTAAGCGATCAGTACCTTCACCCTCCACAAAAAAGACCAAACCTGAATTTTAGTTTCGATTGATCGGTTTTCTTTTAACAAAAAACAGTAATAGATCATACAATTTTTCTTATTATTGTTTAATTTGTATCCAACAAGTTTGAAGATGAATGGAATCAAGAATATTCTACAATGTGTAATAAAGTTCAAACACTAGATGATTCTCTACTGAAGTCTAAAACACAATTCAGTGAATTAAAAACAAGATTAGAAGGAATGACAAATGAGAAGAATTTTCTACTGGAGAAACAAAATAAACTTAGATTATCATTGTTAGCATTAATGAAAGTGAAACTACGAGGAACTACAAAATTAAGTCAGTTGAGGTGAATTTATTATTATTCTGTTTCATAAGTTATAAGTATTTTCTGAGTTTAAATATATTTTTGTGAATCCATTTTATTATGATAGTTGGAAGCACGTGACATGATACTCTAGACTTAGAGTTTTGTGTCAGCTGACATTCGTAAGGAAGGTGTATCTTAAATCTTCAGGGAACCGATACTACTCCTCAGGATTTGAGTCTGTACAACCAATGTCGTAGTTAAGTCCGTTACCACTGAGGCACCTGACCTATAATGCATGACAGAAATTTTCGCGCTCATTGGTCATTGGCTAGTTGAACTTTATTTATATTTTTCACCCGGGTACGCTACACTACAATAATATATAACAAGGAGTTGTGGATAACTCCAGCCCTTCTTTTTAGTTTTAAATTATTTTGTTCTTTTAGTTAAACATTTCTCGTACTGCTCAAATTTTTAGATGTACGATTGCTGATCTTACTAAAACAAATAAAACATTGGTCTCAGAAATAAACATTTTGAAAAAGCAAACTGAAGAAATGAATCAACTTCAAACCAAACGTGAATTACAACTATCTAACTTAATGAAAACTCGTGATTCAGTATTAAAAAAACTGAAGGTAATATTTATCGAAGATTCTTTGATTTCGAAACACTTCATATATCACATAGTACCAGGTATAGAATCTGCTTTACCTGTAATTATCTCATTTGAACACTTGTTGTAATGCTTTTTTCATGAAACCATTATAAAGTAATTACAAGTAAGCTTTTAATACTGTATCTATTTCTCAAACAAAACGGACTATAAACTTATCATTTTTAGTTTATAACATGGATTAGTTCAGCTTTAGTAATTTTTCTGTTGCAGCACAATTATAATTTCGGATTTGTACCTGTAGAGTTTGATGAAAATACCACCGATTAAATAAAGCACGTTCAGTTGATTTTGTATTGTTACACGAGAATTCGGAAGCCCAGGATGGGTATCTAGGCATAGAGGACAGCAGCTCGGATGGCCAACGTCAATTCTTCTGTCATATAGCTGTGATATTGTCCTGCAGCTATATGGGGACCATATCCTGTTTCTGTACAGGATCAGCTTCTGACACAGCTATTACCTATGTGCCACCTGGCTTTTTCGCTCAGCTACTCGAATTTCGACTTGGATTGATTACATTGCGACCAGCTACCACTGAGGTGATTGTGTACAAGACTACCACTCCGTTTGGAGTACCCATATTAACTCCAGGTACACCCTAGTATGCAACAAAATTATCTTGGTCGTTGAGGGCGAGCAAACTTATTGTCCTCAATGGGTTAATATGAGCAAACCGGCTATACTTAATGTCACGGCCGAGTAGTAAATCGGGCTAGGTTTGGTGGTAGCTATCAGTTCACTGAGAATTCTAGACGAGTACTGAGTATATCTGCATGATGCCATAGAAATGGCAAGTTGCTTGTGCTTTAGAAAATCACCCCAATTATAACCTTTGGATTAATCTTGGCTATCTAAATCTCCCTAAGTCATATCAGTCTGCTTTAGTTAAATCCGAGTCTGATGATGGACGTAGGTACTTGGCTCAGTATATTTCATAAACCTTACGTAAGAACTGGGATACTTCGTGTTTGTAGTGTGTTGACACTTTAGCAGCAGTAAATACATCTAGTAACTACCGGAAGCTGTTTTAGCATACTTGAGACAGCAGGAACACGATATTTTGTCTTGATTTGTGTAGGGCATTTTTTCCTGTGGTAGTTTGTAACAGAATTTATGTTTTAAATAGAATAAACAAAAGTGAGGGTTACACCTATACAAAAATATACAACTTTTATATATTGGATTAGAGTTGATTTAGTAGGAAAATTGTATACATAGTCTCTGATCGAATTATTCAGTAATGTAGATGGAAAGCCGTTAAGGCGGCTAATCTAATAAATTAAGAACTGTATTCTAATTTATTTCTAATATACTAAGTTAATGTGTAATTGTATCAAACAAATCTGGACCATACACCTCGTATGTTTTTAATAACTTATTCAATCATGTTCATTATGATCACAATAATAACAGATGTAATTTATAAGTTACGGATAACAGTCACACATAAAAATTGATGTTCAACAGAAAACAATCCTCTTCGAAACAAGACTAAGTCAAAGTAGTGAATGTTTAAACTAGCAGTTTGATTTATTGCTAAAAGTACAGTATAAGGACGAGCCAATCAAAGTCAAGAACATGAATTTAAGGCGTTAAGGGAAATTCGGATATTGCAGATTAAGAGGAGTACAAACACCTTTGTATATTGGTCAAAACGTTTAAAATGATAACAGAAAAAGTCATCTTTGTCATTACATAGTAAAAATGATAGTTTTTAATATATCAAACCCTCAACTGTCTCTGTAGATTTTATCTAGCAAACAAATGGACACCATCTCAGTATAAGCAAAGTATGTGGATAACCTTGAACTACTTTTTAACCAACGACGAGATGGTATTTAGTTCTAAAACTGATTCATAGTTAAACAACAATACTGGTATAATTATGAAGTTTTGACATGCATAATGAATAAATTGGGTTTTTTTATTAAACGATATCATCAATAGAGAAAAAATTAACTTTGCTCCGAAGTTTGATTTATTTCGTCCACATATTTCACTTCTGCTACTATCTCCAAGTCACAACCATGAACTCTTAATCCTACTTGAAATATATTCTTCCGTATGATTACAGAGCACTTTTGTATGATAGCTAATGCCAGTTCATGATGAAAACTGTAATCCTAAACCACTAATCTTAGCCCTAATTAGGAACAATGTGGAGACTCTTAAGAATACTTTTTGGGTTACTTCAAGGGTTTGAGGAGACCGACAACCTATATCCGATGAATTTATGTCACTTTTTTTCGATTTAAATGCAAAGTAAGTTGTAGAAAACATTAATCGATCCGCTTATTAAGTAGAATCTGTTTACACTTTATAATTTTATTGTTTTCTTTTCTGTGAACTATCCATTTACGAAAGCTGTTTTCTGATCAGCTAGAAACTAACAGAAAATTCGTATTCAGTTGTTTAAATCTCGTCTCAATAACGTAGTTATACCCGCATATTAGCTAACACTTATTTGTTGTCAAATTCAAAACCAGATGTTACTTACTCCTGTTACTCCTCGTGAAGGAGCATAGGTCGCTCACCAGCATTCTCCATCCAACCCTGTTCTGAGCAATCCTTTCCAGCTCTTTCCAGTTCTTATTCAGCTTTTTCATATCTAATTCTATTTCCCGACGTAATGTGTTCTTCGGCCTTCCACTTTTCCACTTCCCTTCAGGATTCCAAGTTAGGGGTTGCCTCGTGATGCAGTTTGATGATTTGTGTAATGTATGTCCTATCCATTCCCATCGTGTTTTCCTAATTTCCTCTTTAGCTGGAAGCTGGTTAGTTCTCTCCCACAAAAGGCTGTTGCTGATGGTATCCGGTCAGTGGATGTTGTGTATCTTGCGTAGACAGCTATTTGTAAATACTTGTACCTTCTTGATGGTGGTTATAGTAGTTCTCCAAGTTTCAGCTCCATACAGTAGAACCGACTGCCTTGACATTCGTATTGAAGATTCTGACTTTGATATTGGTTGAAAGTTGTTTTGAATTCCATATGTTCCTTAACTGGAGGAATGCGGCCCTTGCTTTGTTAATCCTCGCCTTCACGTCTGCATCTGAACCTCCTTGTTTATCGATGATGCTTCCCAGGTATGTGAAGGATTCCACATCTTCCAGAGTTTCGCCATCAAGAGTGATTGGATTGCTGTTCTCAGTGTTGTATTTGGGGACCTTGGTTTTCCCCTTGTATATGTTGAAGCCTACTGATGCAGAGACTGCTGCTACGTTGGCTGTTTTTATCTGCATTTGTTCGTGTGTATGCGATAGGAGGGCTAGGTTGTCTGCAAAGTTCAAATCATCTAATTGGTTCTGAACTATCCATCGTATTCCATGCTTTCCCTCAGATGTCGAGGTCTTCACAATCCAGTCTACCACCAGAAGAAAGAGGAAGGGAGAGAGCAAACAGCCTTGTCTGACTCCGGTCCTTACTTGGAATGCATCAGTCAGCTGTCCTCCATGCACTACTTTGCACTTCAGACCGTCGTATGAGTTCCGGATAATGTTGACAGCCTTCTCAGAAACTCCGTAGTGTCGAAGAAGTTTCCATAATGTTCTCCTATCTACACTGTCGAATGCCTTTTCATAATCAATGAAGTTGATGTATAGTGACGAGTTCCACTCAACTGATTGTTCGACGATGATCCGTAGTGTTGCAATTTGGTCTGTGCACGACCGATCCTTACGGAATCCAGCTTGTTGATCTCGAAGTTGGGCGTCTACTGCATCCTTCATCCGGTTCAGCAACACTCTGTTGAAGACTTTCCCTGGTATTGACAGTAGTGTAATGCCTCTGTAGTTTTTACACTTGCTCAGATCTCCTTTCCTTGAAATCTTGGTGCGGTGTCCTTCTTTCCAGTCCATCGGCATTTGTTCCTCCTCCCAAATCTTCTTGAATAGAAAATGAAGCATGCTTGTAGTTACTTTGATGTCTGACTTCAGTGCTTCAGCTGGTATATTGTCGGGTCCTGCTGCTTTCCCGCTCTTGATTTGTCTGATGGTCATTCTGATTTCTTCCGTCGTTGGTGGATTGACATCTATAGGGAGATATGTGTGTGCTGCTTCGACGTCCGGTGGAAGGTCAAATAACAACTAGTTACTATTAACTGTACAATTTGTTTACTAGAAATTCAGAATTATAATTTTTCTTCTGTGCATAACTTGTTTGATTACATGGCTTAGTGGTTATATTTATTTGAAGAGTGTTTCGTTCACTGAGCTGGATGATTTAATTGCTGAGCCATCATTTTCGTTCTGAACAACATCATCAGCCACTTCAGAGTGAAAAATTTTCTTTAAATTACTGAGAGACAGTGAACATTGGAGAATATGTTTCAGAAAGGAGAAATGAGATATACATAGAAGCATACTGAAACTCAAGATTTACTGGAAGATAAATGGTCAGTGCAGATGCATCACCACGTTAGACTTTTAACCTTCGATCGCAGTTATTGCCTAGATCCACAACTAGGTTATCTTGATATACCGACAAAGGGCAGCTCAACAGTCTATGATTTCATGAACTGATGGCTTAACCGTTCCCTTTCAACTTCATTTCTGCTTCGAAAAGTATTGTTCATAGAAGTAGGGTGTGGTCAAACTTACGTCAAACATGCTCCAGACACTTAAACAATAACGATTCAGAACCTTAGTAACTAACCTCTCAATTTCTTTAAATATCATACGTCTGACTTTAATATTGTCCACTCCATTGTTCCATAACATTCAAATGATTCTTTGAAGTCAGCATCTACAATTTACCAAAAATCATTTATTCACATGATCTAGAACTTTCTTGCATAAAGCCAAATTGGTGCAACAGTAAACTGTTGAAATTTTTGAACAACTAATATATTCCTTAGTAAAACTCAGTGATTTTACATTTACTTTATTTCTACTCCAATCATGATTCAAAAGTTATGAAACAAATTCTGGATTTAATCATGTATATACAGAAAAACACAAAACATCTATAAACTTTCATTTACGTGCTTTAGTTTACTTGATAACACTGATTTATAGTGGAAGCTCCATCTTCATTAAAAGTTGGAAGAATGTTTTTGTTTTTACTTATCCGTTAATTTGAAACGATTTTTTTCCTTTTACCAAAAAAAGAAATTAAACTGAATAAAAAAACTTCTATTTGATTATTATCATTACCAATCCATATCAGGAGGATTTAAACGAGAAACTCTCTCTTAATTTAACATTATCCGAGCAATATATTAAAATGCAAGAAGAACAAAGCAAATTATCATCATTATTCTACTTAGCTGTAACAAATTCCGTATTAGATCAAAATCAATTATTTAATGCAGAGCAAGTGAGTATCAGTAATGTGATGTAATAATACTTTGATACTATGATTATTCATTATTATCATTTTATCAATAATATGAGGAATTATTGAATATATAATCGACTTTAATAAGCAAATTTCATTCTTTAATAATTGAGCTGATAGTAGATTAATTTAAAACTGCATATATCAATAATAAGTAATAATATGGGTCCTTTTTATACAGTATGCTCTTATCTCACTATCAGAAAATAAATATATTCAGTTAGTTTATTTTGAATGATCTATTTATAAGGAAGTGACAATTAATTGCGATACAAAATCACACGTATTCATAAGAAACGTAAATACATTATGTAGTTAATAATATAATATCGGATGTGGTTTTGTGGAGATTATAGTAATGTTTTTAATAGTTGAGATCATGAGTCAATTGAAGCTAGAGCATCGTGAAAAATATAGAAGCACTGAACGGCCGTTATGTCTTATCGTGGGACTTCTTAGTAGTGTGCATCAAAGTCCCCATCCCCCACGTGATTCGAACCTAGGACCTATCAGCCACGAGCACAAGCGCTTAACCACTAGACCATTGAACCAGCCAGTATTCAACGGTGTTAATGTCTAACTTCAACTAATCTATGAAATCGAGCGACACATCCACGATTGTCTTCAATGAGTTATTATCTCATAACAGAATTGGTTAAACTCCCCTGATCATTGCTTCTCACTAGAACTCCAAGAAAATCTATCTTGAAGCCATTGACTAATGATCATATGTTGATTAGTAGTTAGACAATCACACCATTGGATGCCGGCTCAGTGGTCTAGTTGGTTAAGCACCTGGCGAGAGACTGGTAAGTCTGGTTTCGAGTCCCACGAGGTGGAGTCGTTGATGCGCGCTGTTGAGGGGTCCCATAATAGGACAAAATGGCTGTCGAGTGCTTTCAGGTTTTCCATGGTGGTCTAGTTTCAATTGACTCATGATCTCAACTATTAAAATCATATAATGCTTAATATGTTCGCAAAAATTAACCAGCCAACTACATCATTACGGAAAGCACTGGGTTTTTTCAATCATGTCCATATACAAACTATATCTTTCTATTTATTGAATCAATAGTATTCAGATAATATTACAAGCACCACATTACCTAACAAATCGTTAGGTACATTTCAGGGGGATTAATGATCAATTTAAGCAGTTAAATAGACTAAACAATCAGGTAATTCATTAATATCATTAGTTGTAACAATGATAATTCTAATCTTTAGTACAAATGTTCAACGAATTTACCAGCCTATTAAATTAAAATTTAAAACAGTCGAAGAAGTGAAATACGTAGTTTGATTCCATACAAAATTGTAAGTCTATACTTGCAGAATGTACACATACATACAACCATGATCAGTTTATCAAATTGACTGTTCACTTGAAATACAAAAATTATTTTAAACAATATAGGCATGGGCATAATATGAATAATGTATCCATACTTCGGCCTAGAAGTAGTATGTATTTAGGTGATCATTGTTAAGTATCATTATTGATTTGAAAAAGTGTCATCAATGTCTATAAATTGATATAATGAAATATGGTATTTGATCATTTGTTTATTAACTTAAAACGTGTGTATTGTGAATATTATCATATACACAATGTTATCAGCGATATGTATCTATCAAATTTTATTGACAAATGAGTCTTTATCGGTTGTGATTAGCTATATCTACTCAGAAAACCCAACAAACTAATTTTAGCGGTGCATATTCACAGTACCTTCATTTCACCATTTGAAATATTTTTATTGTATTAACGGTTATCAGGTTGATTAATATAAGAATTCAAGATATAATATTTTGGATGTTTCACAACAATCGGAAGATTATGGTATACTAGGTAGTCGTGATCATTCAAAAGTGTATGCACTATAGAGTGTAAGAAAGTTGTCATTAGAATTTGTCGGTTTGATCTTTCAAAAATCGGTAATTTCTAAAGGTAAAAGTTCGATTTGAAAATAAATTCAAATGAATTCAAAGAATAGGATGAACTCATTTTACTTTGAAGTTTCCTTTCAGCTACATACAAACATGTTTGGGATGCGATTCTCCCCTTCGAAATGCAAAATGTTGATTTAGGATTGGATTGCATCGCCAACCGAACTAATGGTAGGGAAAGAAGTAGTTGAAAGTGTCGACCGCTTCACTTACCTAGGGGGTCTCATCAGCCAATGTAGTCTGATGTGTAATGAAATCTCAGAACGGATGCAGAAGGCTCGTCTAGCTTTTGCCAACTTGCGTCATTTATGGCGTAGGCGAGATATCTGTCTACTAACGAAAGGAGGGGCTTACTGCGCAGTAGTTCCTCCCGTCCTACACTATAGCAGGGAAACCTGATCGTTGTAAGTATAGGATATTCGTAGACCAAAACATGGCACAAATCCATGAAGTCACTGACAAATGGACTGAGCCATGTTGGTAGGTGTAGACTACCTGGTTGGGGACCGCGAAATGAGAGCAACCGATGAGTAGACACCTTGAATGACATAGCTCAAAATCGTTTGCAATAGCGCAGGTGCATCCACTCTTTGTGTTCTCCCAAATTCTAATCTTCTGAATTCTTCATATCCCTTTCTTTTTCCTCTTTTCAAATTTATTTCACTGTATTATACTCCTTGAATAATATCTTCAGACCCTAATCTTTCCGATTACTGCTTATACTGTTACTACGTCTACCACTATGGGATTTGAATCGACAACTGCATCTATGTGCTAATGTGGCATGGGGAGTCAAAGTGATGTACGTACGTACGAAGTTCTACGTTGTTACTGACTGACATACAAGCAATATGAAAATTTTAATACATAATAAGCGAAAAAGAATTAATATAGCATATTGATGGAAGAAAGGGTTGTAAAGTATCTTCGTCTATCAAAATTATTATATAAAATATTTTAAAACCTTCATCGACAATGGTGGAATATTACAATATCAATAGTGAATGATACAAATGTTACTCATAAATATGGTGTATAAGAACATTAGATTATGAAAGGACTAGCAAACTTAGTCTTTAAATCATCGACCAAATCATTTATTCACAATCAGCTCACAGTAATTCTATAAATATACATTTGTAGCACGTAATATTAGTGTTTACTTGGAGGCAGGAGCGATCTGAAACAACAACACAACAATCAGGACTGGTAAATGCCTCTGAAAAAAAACAAGGCGTACTGGCACAACATATATATATATATATATATATATATATATATGTAAATTGAAAGATGCAGTTCTAGTACAAAAAGGGAAAACTTACTACAAAATAGTTTTATCCATTATTCTGCGGGTTCAGCTTACGTAGGGCTTGCTCCTCTTCTTACTGTACATTTACTCCTTGTTGCTCTGCAATAAGAAATACAGATTCATGTTAGTAACGTCACATGTATTGATTTTTGTCACTGTTACACATTGATCTAAGTTGCCTATACTACATCAACATAAACAGATTTGCATTACCATAAAGGGCATTAAAAACGTGGAAATAATAATGAGAAAGACAAAATATTAAGAGAATGCAATTTGAGAAAAAAAATGGTAAGTTACACACTGAAGATGACAAATCAAATTTATCATTAAAACAAAATCAGATCAAAAATATGAAAAAAACGTCATTGTGAATAAATAACTTAATTTAATGATTGAATTCATTAGTCAAGTGAATGTAGATCACCATGGAAATCCTAGAAGCACTAGACGGTCGTTTAATCCTAGTATGTGTTATAGCTTGTGGACTGTGTGCCCTGTTAGTGAACAACGTAACGATACCGCCAATCAGGGAGCAATGGCTTATCGATCGAATCAATGATGTGTAAAACACGTACGAGCAACCTAGAGTCCTGATTGGTCCTGATTCCCGCCTAGCCCAGTCAGTCCAGTTCAGAACACCAATCTCAGCCTCTGCATTATGAATCATGTATTTCAAGCATACTCGGTTTATATACCAATCAAACAGACCACAACGTACCATAAAATAGAAACTAACATTTGTACAAGATTTGGCCAAATGTGGCTGTGAATGTGGGAGGCAGTGACTAATAGATAGGGCATAATTCAAGAATGGTAAATCGTATAATAATGGTTCATAGGTTAAGATAAAGCTTGTGATAAGAGGAATATGAATATGGATAGTTTAGTTATTTAACAATTATACAATAAAAATATACGTATAGTATTGGTTCATAAATGGATCCCGAAGTTACCACTCATTATTCCTATCGGGACACAACAGTATGAGACTTCTCAGCAGTGCACATTCACGATCGCGTCTCGCGAGATTCGAATCCACGACCTATCAGTCCCATGCGCGAACGCTTAACAAATAGATCACTGAACTGTCCGGTATCCAACAGTGTTAATGTCTAATATCAACTAATCCTTTATTTTTCTTTCCTTAAAATTACCCATTTATATATTTTAATGAAACTAATCACATTATTATTTTGATAGCTTTTAGCATTATGGGCAAGAATTATACGTCAACGTAATTATTGGGAATTGATACAGCAAGCAAAACAAGAAATAGAAGTTAATGAATTATTAAATCAAAATAATCAAATTAATCAACAAATTAATGAAGTTAAAGGAATCAATATGAATATGAAACCAATACTCTCTATAGAGTATAAAACATAAATTTTTATTATTATTATTTATTTATTTAGTCTAAAACATTAAAAATAATATTAGACATAAAATGAATCATTTAAAACTGTACATTATGAAATAATAATCATTCTATTTAAAGCAATTAGTCCCTTTTATAAATTTCGATAGAACAATGAGAAGACGGAGTTGATCTGAAAAATGTGATGTATTTGCGCTATACATTTCGAACAATCTGGTCACACATATACTTGTCAGGGCATTTTATATGAAAATTAATAAAGGTCAATTACATGAAAGTTAAAGTACAAACAAAAATAACAAAGGGGAGAGAAAGGATAAGAAATTGTTGCATTATCCTAGGCCATAGAATGACTCAAGGATTACCAAGGTAAATTCTATGGCCTAGGATAATGCGACAATTTCTTATCCTTTCTCTCCCCATTGTTAATTTTGTTTGTACTTTAACTTTCATGTAATTGACCTTTATTAATTTTCATATAAAATGCCCTGACAAGTATATGTGTGACCAGATTGTTCGAAATGTATAGCGCAAATACATCACATTTTTCAGATCAACTCCGTCTTCTCATTGTTCTATCGAAATCATTCTATTGATGATAAATAAGATGGGGCTAAAAAAAAGATGAAAATAGGAAAAGAATCGTGGTACAAATGTTGTATTTTTTTGCAAAAAATAAAATAAAATGATTTCAATCGGGTCATTTGTGAGATAGTAACTCATTATGTGTCGCTCAATTTCGTGGATTAGTTAAAGTTAGACATTAACACTGTTGTATACCAGCCAGCTCACTGATCTATTTGTTAAGCGCTCGCACTCGAGACTGATAGGTCCTGGGTTCGAATCCAGTGAGGCAGGATCATGGATGAGCACTGTTGAGGAGTCCCACAAGAGGACAAAACGGCCGTCGAGCGCCCTCAGGTTTTGCATGATGGTCTAGCTTCAATTGACTCATGATCTCAATTATTGAAAATGTTTCTATTATCTTATTTTTATTTTGCTATTCAAATATTATCAGAGAGGGGTTTTGTTATATCTTAGTGAAGATTAAATAACGAGTAACGTCTGAGACCTATTAACGGACTAATATTATCTATATATTCTTATGGTATAATTATTCAGTAACTAGATTGTATATATCTATATTCCCCTTATTATAGGCTTTATTTTGACCTATATATTATTATTTTACGATTTACTGTTCTTAAGCTATGTTCAGTTTATTGACTACTGCCTCCGACGTTCACAGCCACTTTTTGGCTTTATTGTGTACAGATGTTATTTCTTATTTTATGGTGCGTTGCGGTCTGTTTGTTTGGTATATAAACCCAGTATGTCTGAAATAAATGATTCGCATATTGGAGGCTGTTATTAGCATTCTGGACTCAGCTGGACGGGCTAGGCGAGCGACGGACCAGTAGGATGCTAGGCTGATCAGACCGGTCGAACGTCATTGGTTTAGTACAGTACAAGAGCGAATAAGTCGTATTTTGATTGGCGAATAGATTGCGTGATAACAAGCGGCTCATAAAGTCACAACAGGTTTCGTGGAAGTTGCATTAATTTTAATAGTTGAATTCATGAGTCGATCACAGATAGATTACCATGGAAAATCTAGAAGCACTGGATAGCCGTTTTGTCCTAGTATGGGACTACTTAACAGCGCGCATCCACGATCCAGCTTACAGGGTCCGAACCCGAGAATTTCTGTCTCGCGTGCAAATACTTAACCTCTAAACCACTGAGTCCTGGTTTCGAATCTTGCTATCAAGATCGTGGGTGCGCATTGCTGAGGAGTCCCATACTAGGGCGAAACGATCGCCTAGTCCTTCCGGGTTTTCCATGGTGGTCTAGCTTTAATTAACTCGTGAATTCAACTATTGAAATTATTCAAATATGTTTATTTTATTTTAGTGTACACTAATGCAGCACTTGTAATTTAGTTATTTATAAACTGTAATGGTGTATCTAAATAATAAGTATGCAAATACTCTGATTATACATTTTACTCTCCCAATAAGTCAACTATTATTGTAGGAAATTTAAACGGATAGCGAATTTAATTCAATCACCATGTGCAGGTACTCAGATTTCGGTCATACACAAATTGCTTTGTGTAACGCCTAGAGATACTGTAGTGAATTTGAACTAGGTGGAGATAATCAATTTATTATTTCATACAATAGTTACAGAATATCTTGACAAAATATGAAAACCGTACATTGAATAATTCATTTGCAAAATTCCACTATTCGTCCTTCATATGTTATATGATTCTTTCAAGTCACAATTCCTCACCATTTCTGTTTCTATTCTCTCCAAATCGACCTTCATAGCCTTCTCCTGCCAAGTTTTCCACTTCCGATTGGTGTTACATACTACTTATGTCTGTCGACATTAATAGCATACACCACAATAATATTCTCTGAAAATCCATACCAAAGTAAGTGAAACGGGATTCGAACCTGTAGTCTACGCGTTGAAAGTTAAGTGATCTAACGAATAAGCAGACAAATACGGAGAAATAGAAAAAAGACAGCAATTTCGACATAACTCTTGAAACTAAAATAAAAATTACTCAAGAATGATTAAGATAAATGTCGAAACTGAAGATTGATATTAATTCAATCGCAGAAATCAAATTAATGAAAATACCGATATTAACATTGGTGAATAACCGTAAAAATAAACTTATTATAGCTGAAGACAAAGTGGTGTAAGTGATTTTTAAGAACATAAACAATGGACTTACTTGAATTTATTAAACTCTGTTACCAATAATATCACTGAAGTGCTTAGACACTTGATTCCAGCTATTTCAAAAACATGTTACCCAGCAAACTTTGTGGCGGCATTTGTAATGAAGCCATATATTCTATGAATTGATTTTGTGTTTCAAGAGCAATAACTCTAGTTACAATCGCTTATGTTAATTACATTACATTTATGTAAAGAATTGAGTAATCTAAACAGGATCTGAAAACTTATCGATCTTACCTGGTGCCCTGGATACCATGTAACTTAATTTCATGACATCGATGCAATCTCTTGTGGATTAAACCGTAGAATAAATGGCGCATAAATTAGCCCCTTGGTTTGAGTGCTCGGGTAGTATCCCAGTCCATACACATATATGATTATTAATAAAGAAAATAATCTCCCTCTATTTTTATTCAAACAAGCGATATTTACAGATACATAATACAACCAAAGTTATTTTATTCTACCTTATATCTCTATTCCATTTTATGTCTACTTTGATTTTTAAACTCATTCAACAGCTCTGCCCCTGTCTAAACCATCTCAAGCTTTTGACTAGTTGAATCTATGAATGCTTACACGGAGTATTATTCCTGACACGTTTACACACTGATGAAGATCGGAAGTCAGACTATTTCGGCTGTGGCTTTGGAAAGTCTTGACATGTATGCTTATATAGAAATTTGGAACTCATTTCCAAGACTCCAGGGAATTACCATAAATTTGTTCTCTATCTGACGATTCGGAAAGTTTTTTTCGTCAGCAAACTGACGGAGTTGTTTGGAAAGATCTGGGAAGTAGTTTGTTCCAACACCTTTGAGGGTGACTGTCGTCTTCATCTTTGAGAAGGGTCAATCAAACAGTTACAGCACGGTAGCTGTGGTCGATTGCATCCACACTATTGCACAAAACCCACGAAAGACTAACTAAGGAGGAGTAAACTATTTTTCAATCGGGTCGTGAATGTATTAATCACAATTCTACCCCCAACAAATGTTGGAGCAAAGCCTCATTTATTCCTGATCAACAATCAACAGTCAAGTTTGATATGATGGATTGATATTTTACAAATTAACGATTTAATATATGGTTCTCAGATTTCATTGAGATGCTTTGTAATTATTTGCTCAAATTGTCCTCATTGGTGTTCTTGTTCACTACAGATAGGATTACCCTATCTAATCATTCATTTCAGATTTTTCATCAATGTCATTTCGTAAACAGCCCTGATAGCAGTCAGTACTTTAGACCTGGAGAAAGGCTTTCGACTCTAAGTTTTGGATTACATTGTCTTAATGTGCAATGGTACACGTGCTGTGCAAATAACATTTAATCAGTAGGAAATCAGTGTCAGTGTGATAAGCATTTTGTACCTCCTAAAAACAAAGTAATTGTGCAAAACCTTTGGGAGATTATACCTGTACCCCTTTTTTGTGGTGTGCCATTACAAATAATCAGAAATGTTGTGTACCTGGATAGTTGTGTGCTAATAACAAGACGGATTATGCCAGCCTCGGCTATTTCGGAACTGATATGATAGTAATTTGGGTGTAAAGTCTCAGGTCTACAATGCACTGGTGAGAGCACTTCTATATACGCGTACAAAACTTGGTCTCTCAGAGATATGTCAGACGACTGTGTTCGAATATCGAAGAATTTTTGACATCCAGTGGTTGAGTTTCAGCAATATGTGTCATCATCTTGAAAAAATTGTTTCAGTGGTTTAGGTATATATATGTATCAAAAGAGAAGCCAACTGTGAACCCTTTTTAGTATTTATAAAAATCAAAAACCCTTTAATTGAAAGAGATCTTTATTGATTATATTATTTTTCGAATGAATTGTTACTTGTTATACATTAATCTTGTACATTTATTCGTTTCTTTATCTTCAAGAATATTTTGATTTCCTTTTCTAATTCACAATATTATTTCCATATTTTCTGTGGATTCTATTTTTCGGATCCAGTTGTATGATATTTTTTGCTTATTTAAGCCTGTTACCCCTTGTGGAGGAGCAAGCGTCAATCTAGCGCTTACTTCATGGTGCAGTTTAGTGATTTACGTAATCTATGTTCCATCAACTTCTGTCTTGTCCTAATTTCCTCCTCGGTCGGAGCCTGGTTTGTTCTCTTCCACAGTAGGTTGTTGCTGATGGTATCCGGCCAATGGATATTCAGTATCTTGCGTAGACAAGTGTTTATAAATACTTGTACTTTTTGATGATGGTTGTAATAGTTCTCCAGGTT